CTTTAAACATAGCTAATAAAATGTCCTTCTCATTAGAATTTTTTTCAACTACTCGTGATAATTTCAAATATAATGCTTTGTTATTTTTAAGAAATAGTGGTGTATAATCAAATTTGTATGTAATTTTTATAACATGTGTATTTTTATTTTTATTATAATTAATTATTATTATGTAAATTATTGTAAACTGTATCGTTTGTCTTAATGTTACACTTATAATTATTATATATTATATAAAGGACCTAGGTCCGTTTAAAAAAAAAAAAAAATAAAGGTTGAAATTATTCGTATTTTGTCTACTATGATATGAAATAGAATTTCTTCTGAAGTCAAAGAATCTTTCTGTAATAGCTGATGAAACTAAAGATATATCAAAAATTGAGCAATTTTCTGTTGTGATTAGGTATTATTTTCAGGAAAAGTTAAAAGAGCTGTTTTAAAGTTTTTAGGTTTTACTCCATTAACAGATTTAGATGGTAAATCTTTATTTTTACATATAAAATCTATTCTATTTAAAAGTATAATAGATATTAATAATTGTATTGCCCAAACATAAAACGTAGCAAATGTGATGCGTGGACACATAAATGGTGTACAAGTATTATTCAGATAGGAAGTGCCTTGAGCTCTATATACACATTGTGCTAATCACAGACTCAGTTTAGTTTGGTTAATGTAACTAAACATTTTTAAGAAGTTTATATTTTTTTTAATTTCCTACAAGAATTTTATGTTGTATATGTTTTCATGTCTGATTCAATTATACATAATAAATTTATAGAATTACAAAAAAAGGTACTAAAATCTAATAAACCAATAGAACTTAAACGTTTATGCCTTACAAAGTGGTCATCACAAATTCACCGTTGCACGGCTAAAGGACTATTAAAAAAAATTGATGTTTAAATTTATTTATTTATTATTTTTATTTAATGATTTTTATCACAAATAAATATTATTAGTAAATACTTCCAAGATGTTATTACTGATATAATAAAAGGTATGCCATTAATTGAGTCTCTAAAAAGTATTTTTTGAATTTGAAAAATCAAAACTCTCATAAAAAGTTGTATGATGAAGCAACAACAATTGCAATTAACTTAATTATTAGACTTCTTACTACACAAGTAAAACAAAAAACAAAACATAGCTTTTATAGGTTAAAACTGGCTATAGCTATTACTACACAATTTTTTTTTAAATCTTAATTTTCAATCTTCGCTTATCGTAATGTTAGAAAATTAATAATTTTATATAATAGTCTATATGTAGGTTGTAAAACGGCGTTTAGCAGCGGACACTTTTTTCGTTAGATATGTAATTATATATTTGCCCCGTAAAATTATGCCTATGTACAATGTCTTAGTATTTTTCAATCACTTCGGCGCCACTACTGTATATTATGATAAAATGTAATAAATTTTTTTATTATAATTTAAGAAATTAGAAATTTTTAAAGAACACCGTCACTTTTTATGTGATCTACATACTAATTAAAAAAAGTAAACTTTTTTAAAAACTTTTTTTAAATTGAGTCAAGTTAATATTTTTTTCCTTATTAACTTTTAACTTATCGATCTTGTGTTCTCTTAATTTCATAGGCGGACATTTGGTTGAACTTTGGGGGGGGGACTATAATAATTCAATGTAAAATAACCCGCAGGGGCTTCGCCCCTACACCCTCTTCTCATGCACAAGTAAAACTTATTACTATTAAAAATTTAGATATGTTTAAATTGTATTAAAAAAAAAAAACACTAAATAACGTATATTAAAATTAATTATTATTTTATATTTTAATCAGGAAAAATATTCAAAATATCATCGCTTTTTATATTTTTCGATGTATCTTTTTTAATATATAGCAGAACCTAAAATAGTGTGCACCCTGACAAACAGTGTGTACTCTGAAAATTAAAGTGTGCAGCTTGAATGACAAATGTGTGTACCAAGTTTTTACACTAGTGACTAGAATAAGACATTGCTAATGAAATAACAATGAAATATTAAACACATAATAACTGTAATATAAAATACCCAAGTTTTCTCTATCGCTTATCAGCTATCTCAATTAATATTGATAATAGTCTTGGAATATCTCACAGAGTAATAAAACTATTAATATCTATTAATAGCACAGCTGAATTCATACAACTGCCTATTATATTATTATATTCTATGGTAAAATCATAGAACGCGTGTTTGATAACAATTTATATGATAAAAATCCCATAACAAAAACAAATTATTTTGTCATGAATCATGGGTACTAAAAAGTGTGTACCCTGAAATTGGATATATTTTAGGCCCTGATGTATAGTATTGAAAGATCGCTGAACCTTAGTCAAGTTTTTATTTTTTTCATTGCACTGAAACTTCTTTCGCAAGTAGCTGAACTAATTGGTATTGTTAATGTTATTATAAATAATTTTTTATTATTTCTTATTTTACGATTTTCAAAAAAAAAAAAAAATCAACAGATTAATTATAAAAACAACGAATAACATTTCTAACAAAATTTCGATTTTGGGGAGGGGGCTGTTAAAATATTTGGAGGGCTTGGTCCCCCAAGCCCTCCTTAATGTCCGCCTATGCTTAACTTAACTCGAGTTTATTATATTCATTAACTTGCCTACCTTTGACTTATTGCACAACATTTATAGATTGCAATTCTTCAAAATGAAGTCAAATATTTAAGAAAAAAAAAAATTAAACAATATCTAGTTAGGTACATCTAATTTTTCTATGTTTCACAGAAAGAAAAAAAGACACCAAAGCAAAATGTTTTCAATCACTAATCAGTTATACAGCTTTTTAACGGTTAAGTGTTATAATTATAGATAAATATAATTATTTTGAATAAGTTTTAAATTAAAGTATTAAGTTTTTTAAGCTTTTCAATATTTTATTAAAAACAATATTTAAATTTTTAACGTTTATTACATTTACATATATGTTGTACAAATAATATGAATATTGACTTAAGCGTTTTTTCACAGCCATAATTAAAAATTATTGATACATACAATTCGTAAGATTCTTTATGTATAGTTTATATATTTATATTATATATTATATAAAATATGCATAAAGAATCTTATGACGATGTACAATTACAATATATGTATATTACATATTACAATATACAATATATATTATTATTAGGCTGAGGGACTTCTAGCATTTGCACACTTTTTTTAATTATTGTTAAATATAGCAGAGTGCGAAATAAATTCGTTTCTCGATGCCATATCAGATCTAAAATTTGAATGTGCATATTTTAAAAATTGTTATGCTTATTTTGCAAATTTTGACATTTTTTTTTAAATTTAAAATTAAAAACTATAGATACATATAACTATATATATATATATATATATACATGTTTCAAACGATCGAAAAAAAAATTTACTTAATATTTCCAGTAATATGCTATCTGCAAACTACCTCACATATCTCGTTATAATTTTTGTGCAAGTATAAATAATACTATAAAACTTGTATCGATTGTATCTGGATTTTGATAAAGATATTAGTTGATATGGAATAATAAATTATTTATTTAGTGTTCAGTTCAGTCGATTATTATTTTTGCGTCTCGCAACCACGTAACGTCGAATCATACATAAAACGTCATAAGTATTTTGTAACATTGTGTAATGCCGAAAGTACAACAGTCTATTAGTAGCCGACTACAAAGTTTTGTTTTGGAGTCTAAAGATACATTTACATCCGATGGACACGTTTTATGTTGTGTACTACCATATGTGATAATTTTTTTTTTTTTTAATGCATATAAATGCATATTTTAATAATTTTAGAAGCATATTTGTGTATTTTTTAGAGCTATAAATCCCTAAGTCTAGTTATAACTATACTTACTACATATCAGAAAGTAAAAGAAACTGTTATCTCATACTCAGTGACGAATGCTGACTCTGATGTACGGCATGCTCATTTATCATAATATTTACAGTTATATTTAATTTATAACTAATAAATAATACAATTGGTATTGTATTCTGAAAGATGCGATCAATTATTCCGATATACTCAATACGCTATTTTTATCCATGTCGTATAGCTCATGAGAAATTTATGATACGGGAGTAGACGGCCGTATCTAGCGTATAGCTTATAATTTAACAAATATAACTTACAGTTATATTTATGACGTGAGTCGGTATCGGATATATTATAATTATAATTTTTTTTTTTTAATGAAAAATTCAAATTTTTATCACTTAACAACAAGTTTTTGTTATCAGTCATAATTAAGGATGTGTAGTTCATGAGTGAGTTTATTTTTTGGTTCCTTTCATATGATAGTTACAAAACGAAATAAGGCGTTTACCCATAATTTATTTTAGCAATAAATCACTGCCTATGGCCTAAAATATAACCAAAACTACCCATAAGTAACATAGACGTATGAAATGTTTAAACATAGGTAAACGTCTCACGGGGGCTAACCATCAAGTTTATTTGTGTTAGCTGTGGACAGTGTAACACATAAGTAAAAACACGATATTCTTCAAGATTAATATTGATGTTTTTTTTTTTTTTTTCTAAAATTCCACTGAAGGAAAAAAATATATATTATTTTTTACAAAATTTAGTACATTAAATTTAAAAAAAATAATGGCTGGCGTTTTGTAATTTTTATAAGCTGTTATCGTCCACAGGACTTCATTTTTCTTTCAATCATAGACACCATATAAGTTATTTTTTTTTATACTATAAAATATATTCTAGAAACATATAGCAAAAAATATTTGATAGATCAGTTAATATATACATACATACATATTTAACAGAACACCATTTTTAGTCCCTATCTGTATTTTCTTCTAATTTTTTTTTAAAAAAAAAAAAACTTATATCACTTTTCTCCCTCAATAAATTTAGTTATAAAATCAGCCAATAGTAAACTGAAATAATGAATTTTCACAAGACTTCTAATATATATGATACATGAGTTTAATTAAATTCTGTTTATTATTATTATTCATTTATTTTACTGTTGTAATTTAAACAAAATAATACAATTAATTTATTTTTTTTCAGTTCTATTTTTACCACGGCCATGTTTAGGTCTTTTTTTAAATGTTACTGTTTTAGTATTTTGGACTTCATCATTAATATCATTATCATTATTATCATTTGTGTCAACTTTTTCTTCATTTTCTGATTCTTCATTTTTAGGAATTACATTGGAAAACTTTTTGAGTTTAGCAACAAAAAATCCATCCATGTTATGAGTGTGAGGGTAATAACGTCTTGTAAGTTTCATAGTTGGGTGAAACCTAAAATAAAATGTAATAATGGTTAAAAAATAAAAATAAAGTATAAAAAAAATAATATTAATGATTTAAACCAAAAATAGTTATTAAATTAAAATACCTGTGCTGTCGAAGATTTGTAAAACCTTCAGTACCAAAAGTTAATCCTGTATCAACTAATTTTACATCCCTTTTTTTTAAAGCATAATCTATTACGCATTCATTTTCTTCTGCCTGAAATATTAAAATTGTAAAAAAAATGTTATTTTATGAATTAAATTAATAAATTGTTTTTACTGAATTCATTTAATTATTATTAAATATCCAACTAATATTTTTTCAAAATTATAAATTTGTAATACTTCTTAGTCTTAAAAAAGGGTTAACTCATAAAACTAAATTTGTGAAAACTAATTCCAAAATATTGTTTCGTCACAAAATTAAATACCCCTAAAAAAAAATACAAGTCTAGTTAAACCCTCCATATCAACTATCACACTATAAATTCTGGTGGGATACTGCTACCACACCGATACGCAGTGCTGGCTCCCATGTATGCTAATTGTTTCCTCTAGCATATGAGAGCAACTATGTTATATAACTTGGTACTAAATAATATATTATTGTTTCAATATATTTAACAAAATTTTTTCATGACCAACACTAAGAATATACTTTGTTGAATATTCCTCCAATCAAACAAGGATGTCAGAGAATTACAAATAAATTTATTAACTATTTTCAGTCAACCAAGGATGGTAGGCTGAACAGGGCACAGCCCATGAATGAAACAGGTTTAATAATCAGTCCCAGCAACAACTATTAATTATATCATTAACCATCCAACCTTATTTTATTTTTATTATTATAATTTATAAATAACCAATTCTATATAGTAAAATCTGTGAGTTTGTCGTTGTTCCTTAATTGAAACGCGACTTGAATCACAGGTCATTGGATAAATATTTCCTTTAGATGATAGGTGCAAAGTAAGTCCCTAAAAAATATTGAAACAAACATCACAATGTTGTGGTAGCTAAACAAATATATAGAATACAAACTACAACAACCTCTACTATTATCAGTAGTGATGATGCTTCTTAAAATCTACTTTCCCTAAATCAAGAAAAACTACAATCTACAGTTGATTACAAGAGGCTTTAATTTAAAGCATTAAGCAATATGCACCAAGGATTGTATGTACTTGTTCAATGTAGTACATATACTTCCAAAAGCTGTTCATAGGCATAACTTTCAATCGGTTACACATCCAACTATATTCAAGTATTAAAAATGACTTACAAGCACAGAACACGTTGAATATACTAAATAACCACCAGTTGGACTTTTATAATTCAACGAGTCAATAGCGGCCAACAATAATTCTCGCTGTAGAGTGAAACACCTTTGCAAATCAGTTTCATCTTTACTCATTTTAACTCCAGAATCTTTACTTATGACTCCAGTTCCTGTACATGGTGCATCTAACAATACTCTATCAAAGTTTTTGAATATCTGAAATATTATAAAAATAAATATAAAGAACATAGTTAAATTATCTAATCTAAATATTGTAATTTAAATAAAAATATAAAAACTTTTAAAATACTGAATTTTTTGAAAATTTAAATTAATACACATAATTTAAAATAGATAAATTTTATAAAAATAATTTTAATTTTACATACCTGAGGAATATGTCTACCATCATATGTTGAAATAACAGAGTTGGCAATTCCCATTCGATGAAAATTACCAACAATTGCCTTTGCACGATTTTTATTTACATCATTAGCAATTAAAACTCCAGTATTTTTCATTATAGCAGCTTAAACAATAAACAAAATAAATTTAAATTAACTAATATGGTAAAGATTAAATTATATAAATAATTTTACCGATGTGAGAAGCTTTACCACCAGGTGCAGCACACATATCTAAAATATGTTCATTTTCTTGAGGAGCTAATGCCATAACAGGCAACATACTGGATGCAGCCTAACCAAAAAAAATAATCATTATTTTATTATTATATAACACACTCCCCAAACATTAAGATTATCTTAATTCAAATTATGTTCGATTTTGATAACACTGATTGTACTCAATTTTTAAAGAAAATTAATTAATTATTCATAAGCTACCAAATCTATGATCTTTGAAAATAATAAAATTTGAATTTGAATTAGAAGAAACTAAATATACTATGATAATAAAACCTTTTTCATAAAATTTAGTTATTCGATTAAGAATATAATAAAAATATTATTAATATAAATTCTCAAAAAATATACAATAATTCCAATAACCTAAACAACTGATATCAATCTTTCTTATATTTTTTTATTTTCTGGAGACATTTAAATATTTATTATTTTAAATAAATTAAATATATTTATCACAGAAAAATAAATATATAATAAACTGAATAAACTAATTCATAGTAACATAAAAATGAACTGAAATAGTTTTACCTGAAGCATATAATGTCCAGCTAAATATTCAGGAGTTGCACCTATTGGAACAGTAGAATTGTATACAACAAGTCCCACTTTAGACCAATTACCAATAGGATCCAAATTAACTCCACGATTGATCAATGCCTGAAATGAGAAAAATAATTAACTTGATAATATAAATAAAAATACAATATATTTACCTGTGCAAGGTCACGTCTCCTAGTTTTTAAACTGTTAGTTCGAATAGTAACAGGCCGTGGTGTTTCACTAGCTTCTAAAAAGGACATCAAGTCTTCAAGTGGGAACAAATGCATAATTTTTTCCATAAGGAATGTATTATAACTAAAATATGTGCATAAGTCTTTAAGTAATAATGCAGTATAATCTTGTCGGCTTCTAAAAAAAAATAAAAATGGATTTGTAAAAATATTATAAAAAAAATTGATTATAAAAATTCATTATACCTGTTTTCTTCACGAAATTTATTGAAATTAGATAAAACCAATAAAATATCCTTAATCCTCTGTTCTACTTCAGGTATGGGAATATGCTCATCAATTTTATCATCAGCAGGAAATACAAAAACATCTTGACTTGCTACATTAATTTGCATTTTCATTTCTTCATTATCTTTAGCTCTAATTGAAAAATATCCATAAATTAATAACAGATAATAAAATAAAATAGTGATACTAGTTAATAATTTATATACTCTTCTTTTTTTTTTGCAGCTTTTAATTTTTTTGCTGCTTTTTCAATTGGCAATAATTCATCATCACTTTCATCTTCTGCCTTCCTTTTTTTTGTAGATAACTTCTTTTTAGGAATAGTATCTTCAATACCAGATTCATTTGAACTATCAACATCATCCAATGTACCTGCCTATATAAATTAATCATTAATAAGATTTTAAATTTAATAAAATTATATTAAACATATTACTAAATAATCATCATCTGAAATGTCTTCATCAAAACTTTCCAATCCATTTTCCTAAAATAAAATATAATTACAACTATGAAATAAAAAATGTTTATCTATTTTAAACACTGATAAAAATAATTTAAATATAAAATTATTACTCAGCATTTAATTTAACCTTTTATTTAATATATTTTTATTTTTGTATAAAATTCTGGCAACATAGTAATTGGAAATTTATAACAGTACAAGAATGTTGAAAGAGATACTTTAGATTCCCCATACTTGGGGGAAATAATTTTTCATTTGAAGGCAATACATACAGTTGGAAAATCAAATATCTTAATAACCTTAAATAAAATTAACATTTATAAACAGAGAAAAATGTTATAAATTATTTGTATCAGTAAAATAATAAAAAATTATAAATAAAAATTTACTTCTGATTGTTCATCATCTATAACTGAATTACTATCATAACTTTCTATGTCATCATCTATAAAAGTAAATAATTCATCAAAAATATAAAAGTATATTATCATGTTCGCTACAAGTATATAACTATATACATAGCAAAAATAATGTATAAAATAAATTAAAAATTATAATTTTATTTTTTATAATTATATTTTTCTAAGATATAATTTTTAACAAGTTTTTCCTAAGATGTTAAATACAAACCTTTCAAATAAAATAACTATATAAAATAATAAATAAACCTGTAGTATTGCTAAAGCAGACAAGAAGTAATACATTGAAGTATTAGTAATAGATAAGTATAAACATGTTAAATATATAAATATACTATCTATTTATACTTGGTACATACCTCTTTCAGGAATAACAGAATTTGAATTTTTTGATTTCAACCAACTATTATTGCTATCAGAAAATTGCTTTATAATTTCACTTTTAATATTTTTTGTATCAATATTCTTTGAATCCGATTTTTCATTAATATCTGTAATAAAATTGTATTAACAAGTTTTTTTTTTTTTTAAACATAATAATCCCATAAGGTAATAACCTACTTTATGTTTGATTAGTGCATGTATTATGATCTTTTTAATATATTTACTTAAATTAAATTAAATACTATTTAAATTTATTCATTTATTTTATTTAATTAAATACTTCAGAGTAAAAAAATATTTTTTGTTTTCAAACCATCTGGTAATATAATAAACAGATTTTCCGGTTTACCTGTTCTTTATAATCACACATATAACTGTCCATGTGAAAAACAGTCTGAGTGCAAATTAATAACAACATATTGAAATTATTGGCCTTAAATCTTATTAATTTTAATATCAAACAAAACTTTAATGAGGAATAGAAGTCTCTTAAATTGTATAGGTAAATCAGTAGAATTCATAGGTACATGGAGTGTTAGATAAATTTCTCCTGCTGTACAGTAGTATCATTGTTGCTATAACATGTTTGACGGTGGCGCGACTAAAATACACATTTTCTTTAATTATTATTTTCAGGTTACCAATTAATTCTTCCAAGTCATAAAAGTACATTAAAACCAGTGACGGTTTTGACATGTAACTTTACATGAGGCAGAAAAATGTTACATAGTAAATACACTATTACTCTAACATAGGAACAAAATATGTTAATGTATTCTTTACATGGTATGGGTTATCAAAATGGAGCGGAAATATTTTCCAGTTATAAAAATTAGATTACTACTGTTGCCTAGGGTGTACCAAAAAGAGGTTTTTCCATACGCTCTTCCTTAATTATATACATAAAGGTATAAACAATATTTTACACACATCAAATATAAATAACAAATAACAATATAATATATTATATTACTAGCCTTACCTCCAAAACCGCTACTGATTTAAACCTTCCTTGAAAATCGATCAATTATAAAATTAATAAGTAAAAAGAATACAAAAATTTTTAAAAAATATGCAAAAAGTTAGGCCATCAAAACAGCGGTTCAAACTCAAAACACTGGAATCTATAATCATATTTATCAAATATCAACTTATATTATTGAAGTTTTGATAGGAATTCCTAATTTTCTCTAGTAATAAATATAGCCTATGTTATTCAGGGATAATATAGGTCCAGTAGTTTTTGAAGTTTTTGGGAACAAACACTATCTCTTTATAAAATAATATAGTAAGAGTAAGATTGTAGTAAAAAATTAATGTTTTTTTGCTTTTAACTTCATTCCAGGACATTTATGCATTGTGAGTCATCTTTGAGGGATATCAAGATATATCATGAAATAGTGTCTCTGAAAAATCTGGAATATATGGCAACCCAATATAGATCAAACAGGGATAGACCAGTGAAGCAATATAGTTGAAGAAGTAATTATTAATTTATTTTTAAGCAACAAAAACGGAATAAAATTGTAAGTGTTGGTACCTGAGACCAAATCATGTTTACACAACTCATTTATTTTTGTTAATTATATTTGAATAAAAAAAAATTTTTTTTAAACGTATTTTAATTTGTTTAATTTAATTATTATTACAATTATAATTTCCAGGATCAACTTTTATCAGATTGAATTTTTTAACAAAAAAAAAAAAAATGATGGTGCGTTAACCAACACCATTTAAGAATAAAAATGGTTACTGCAGAATTCAACAATAAATTTTAATTTTAAACAAAAAAATTGAGCACTTTTCAACATTTTTACAGCAAGTTATAATTGTATGTTACTTACAGATTATACATTTTTATATTAACACTTTTAAATATATAGACAGAATAATAATATAATTTAATACAATCTACCAATCTAGTAATATTAAAGCATTGGTGGGACAACTAGTAAAATATAAAATAATGAAATCAATACGCTTTTGCAAAATCAACTTCAAATGAAATTCATTGAAAATAATATAGTAAAAATCTTCAAATTCAATTCAATATTTTTTATTTAATTATTTATTATTAATTATTATTATCACTCAATATAAAATACTTACTTGGAATATTGTCTTCTTTTTTAACACCTTTCTTCTTTTCTTTTCTAATCAACTTTATTTCTTCTTTTTTCTTTATTCTTCTAGCAGCTCTTTGTTTTTGCCGATGACTTAGCTTCTTAAGATCATTTTCTCCTAAAATATAAATAAATCAATATTTATTTTTATAAATTAAAATAATTTCTTAGAAAATATATGTTTTAATTAAGTACCTTCAACTTTTGGAAGTCCCGGTAACATTTTAGGTGGTTTTTGTTTTTTTGCTTTTCGACCAGGCCCTTTGATTTGTTTAACAGTCCCAACATCATCGAATTTCGCTTTTCTTCCCATATTTAAATATTATTTTATAAAAATTAACAAATAAACATCATCAAGTAAAAAAATATTTGTAATAATGCTTCTTTTTCACAGTATCACAAGGTCCACGAGGTTTTGTAGTTATTAGTGATAAAAGATAGTAAATAAGTGAGGAGCACGTTATTATCACACATTACTAGAGCACTGTAGAAGCAGGTATGTGCATCCGCCATTTTGTGTGCAAAAGATTGTAAGATTATAACCTATTATCATATCTTGATATTATGAGAATAATATTAAACATGTATAAACTATAATTCAATAATGTTATAAATTTAATAATTATTCGAGTTATTTCATACTTTCTTAGTTTATTAGTTAATAGTTATTACTTAACCAATTAAAAAAAATATATTTTTTCATATCTCTATAAGTTACTCTATAAGTTTTTTTAAGCTTGGTAATAAAAAAAAATTATTTACAGGAGCTATTGTTTTAAAAACAGGGTTAGGAACAAGTCACTTTTTTCAACTTAGTCACTTATTTTAAATATTTTTTATTATTATATTTATTATTTAAATTGCTTTTTTGTTATTTTATTCAGGTTTACAATAGTTGTTTTTATTTATTTTACTCGGTTTATTTTTAAAAAAAGGCTGTCAGTTATAGTGTTATAAAAAGATCTCTGTTATTTAAATTTATTCTACAGTTATATTATTTATGTTTTACTTTATAAATGTATGCTTAAAACACAGAAATAAATTAAGTTCATAGAAGTTTATAATTTTTTATTTTTTATTTATTATATTTTATTTACGTTAAATATTGAATTATTACATTATAAAAATATTAATTAAATAATTAACTATATGATGTTACCTAGGTATCTATTTATATATTATATTATTACTTCAAAGTTTAAAGTACAATACTTTCTGGTTAACCAATTTTTCAAAATAATTGGTCACTATTTTCAGATTATAGTCACTTTTTTAATATTAAAAGTCACTTTTTTCACTATTTTTTTATACTTTGTTCCTAACCCTGTAAAAAGAACTAATTTTATTGCAGAAATGTACTTACAGATTCTAAATTTGAATTGTTTGTATTTTCTAAAGAATTTGCATTGACAGAAACAGTATCTACAATCTGACTGGAAACATTGTCATCAGTAACAGGTCTCTATAAAAAATTGTGATTAAATTAATTGGATTACTGATGCCTAATTAGCTGAACTATTAAACTTCTGCACGTTCAGCAGTTCAGAAAATAAGACCAACCCTGAATTAATTAATCTACTCACTATCTACTTCAACATTAATAATAATATATACTTTAAGTAATTTACTTTATACAAGGATTTTCTTGGGGTTATTATTGTTTTTGGAGGGTTAGGAACATCAAAAATAGTTGGAGTTGCATTCCATTTCAACTTTTTTAATCCATCTATTTGATTTTGTTCAAACTGATTATCCTCAAAATGAATCTATTCAGGTAACAATTTAGTATACAAGATGAATATATAAATGAAACAACTAATGTGTTTGATTACATGGCAAAGTCGTGCTGAATCAGTTGAAATCCATTTATACCGTCTACTATTAATTACCCAAATTTGTCTACGTTTTGGGTATGTCGGAAACCGACATAATCGATAGCCCTGACTGATTCGATTAGTACAATTTACTGCAGAACAGGACATATTAACAAACCTAATTGAATATTTAAATAACTAATAAGTGAATACCTAAGTGGCTAAGTAGTTGTAGAAATTTAATTTGTTAACTATTTTGAAACTGTAATTCAGTAATCAGTATAGCTATCATTGTTAATCATTATCATTTATCAGTTTTGTTGCACACAAAATAGCGGATGCACATACTCATACTTATAGAGCCTTAACATTACATGTAATCTCTGTTCGTGGCGGTAAAATAGTATTATATATTCTGTGATTAAACCATGGTTAACTATATGAATATTCCACCAATGAACTATGGGAGATTCTATAAAAATATAGGTTTCTCAATATGTTTTATATCTATGGTTTCCCTTTATCAGACCGGTGACCAGTAAAACGTCGATTAGACCGGGCGCACATTAAGACGAGCTAAGACAAGGTGATTCGCTATCGCCGATTCTGTTCAACGTGGTTTTGGAAAAAGTTATTAGAGAAATTAAGATTGGTCCTAACGAGGGTATTAGACTACAAGACAAGTCGATAGGTCTACTTGCTTATGCTGACGATATAGTATTGATGGAAGAGTCTCAGGATAGGTTGAAGATTTTATTCAGTAGACTGCATAAAGCAGCATCAAAAGTAGGACTATGTGTAAATGAAGAAAAAACGGAGTATATGTTTTTAAGTAGAAAGGGACTACCTTTTTGTCAGTCCATAAAAATAGATCAATATGAATTTAAATGGGTAGAACAGTTCAAATATCTAGGTTCTATTTTGTCTGAAAAAAATAATGAATCAATCGAGGTAGCAGCAAAAATCCAAGCTGGGAATAAATGTTACTATGGACTGACTAATATACTTTGCTCACAAGCAGTATCGCGAAGATTGAAAGAACAATTATATACGTCCTTAATACGTCCAGTTGTAGTGTATGAATCGGAAACATGGCCACTCAGAAAAATGGACGAGCAAAGATTCTTGGTCTTTGAAAGAAAAGTGTTGAGGAAAATATATGGCCCGGTCAAAGATGAAATAACTGGGGAGTGGAGACGAAGAAAGAACTTAGAGCTGGAAGCATTATACAGCAGTTAAGATATATTGGAGGTCATCAGAAGCAGAAGACTACGGTGGGCTGGCCACGCTTTGAGGAGCCAAAATCCACTATTATATGCAGTGATTGAATAAAATCCTGTAGGTAAAAGACCTCTGGGAAGACCAAGAATAAGATGGGAAGACAATATAAAGAAGGACGTTGAACATTTAGGTGGTGCTTCCAATTGGAGAGATCTGGCATTGGATAGAATAGGATGGAAGCTTGGTTGTGAGACGGGATGGTCTTAAAGACCCAATAAACCCACAAAAAAAAAAAAATTGCATAAATATTAAACAACAAGATCTCGCAACAGGTACCAAAACAAACAAGAATGTTAGTTCGAAAGATTATTATGCATATTGGTTGATGATTTGACGCGATCAGGACAATGTTATTCTACGATGTCGTAAGCTTTATCAACAATTCATGGTCGACATGTATGTAAAGATAAAGAGCAAACGATTTCGATACTTACGATTCAATCAAAATAAGCTGCGTGCGTAAGATTCTCAAAACAATTGTTAGATATCGGTGATGGGAAAGTTACTATAGATGAAACGGGATGCTTAAATATACCGATCGATTTCTGCACAATCATTGATTCGCAAGATGCTCTCATTGATCAAATATTTCCCAATGTACACAGACAACACACAAATCATGAGTGGCTGGCAGAAAGAGCAATTTTAGCAGAAAAAAATGTGGACGTTAATGAATTGAATCTCAAAATACAACATTTGTTACCAGGAGACTTGGTGTCATACAAATCTATTGATACAGTTTGCGATGCTACAGAAGCTATAAATTATCCAACAGAGTTTTTAAACTCATTGAATTTACCAGGTATGCCACCGCATAATTTGCAACTGAAGGTGGATCTCCAGTTATTTTGCTTCGTAATTTGAACTCACCTTGGTTGTGCAACGGCACACGATTAGTCATGAAAAAATTAATGAAAACTGTTATCGAAACCATCATTTTAAATGGCAAATTCTGAGGTGAAAATATATTAGTACCGCGAATCCCTATTTTATTTATTTGTTCGTGTGGCTTAGCAAATTAACGTTACAACAAATATAATTATTAACTAAAAAATAATGAACAATAAAATAAAATAAATTATAAAATATAAATAATTAAAATAAATTTATTAAAAATAAATACAAAAATTAAATTAAATTGAGATTGAAAAGGTTACCATATAGTATATAAGACGTATTTAATACGAATTTTTATTTTTTATTATTCACCTGTCAATCATTCCATAAATATGTCTGAAAAACGGATTGCGGTGGTCCGTTGTCGAATAAATAAAAATTTACACGTTGATTGCTCCGAAATCGAGCTCATGAATATTGACGAGCTTCATACTCTTCGCCATGTTATCGTCCACGCATTTGATGCACAGCGATACCACGAAGAGTCAATTGTGAATGACCAGTACATGTCTTGGGTACGTGGTCTATACGATGTAGACATAACACTGTCCCGTCATCGGTGGCTTCGTGGATCGGTCTGGTAAAAGTTTTTATTTTTTTATTTTATTTTTCTTTTCTTTTGGAAATTGTATTTCTTTTTTTAACGCGTATGTTTCCGTAGTAGTCGAGTTACACAGAAGAATTTTTATTTACGCGTCTTCTGTCTTTTATAAATTCGCTTAACCTAATTAAACATAATAATTGCTTTCATGTTAGTTAAGAGTATTGACTACTTTACAATTGTTTTCTTCTATTATAAAATGTTATAGTAAACTATTTTCTATTATAACATGAATATAGGTAGATACAGTAATTTTTCATGTGACCTAAATTTTATTATTATTGATATTGCTTAATACTACAAAATATATCTCTACAGTTGACAGATGTATTTAATTAATTAATATTGATTTGTAGTTTAACAAGAAAAATGGCATCGGAAAATGCATCGGCAGTCGTAGAATCGACTAATGGAGCCGGTGGTAGTGGTGGTCAAAAGAAGAAAAAAGAAATAGAAACGATAAAAAATAGTTGGGTGAAAAAAATGAAGACATTTTCCCAGGCCAAGTGAAAAGAGAAACACGTGATGAAGGTATTATTTTTTCCGTCAATTATGCTTTTCGACCAAGGCGATGTAGTTATATACCAGTGATGACCAACCTTTTTCCTTTAGCGGGCCACTTTGGTAAACAATTATTTTCAAGCGGGCCACAAAGTATATCACGTTGGCTACCAATCTATTTTTCAACTAACTTGCGTTAATTACCATGAGTAGTACCGGTAACTCTCACTTTGTTTTTCTAATTATACCTTGAAAGTGACCGGTGACACTTAGCTCATCTTGGTTTAGGACACTCAGTATACACTGTAGGCGCACTCTATTGGATAAAACTATAAAGGAAAATAATCTTTATTATATTATTTACCTTTGAGTACAGTGGGAAGTTCCGGTGACTCAATTAATCAAATATATACATTTTCTTAATCCATATGACTTTTATTAAAAATAACATACAAGAATCATATTAGATATTATAAATTCAATATAATAAAAATTAAAATACAAAACAATCAAAATGTATTACTGAATACTGAGAGTAGTCTTTAATAAACATTGTACATGTATACTTATTCAAAATATTAATTAAATAATTAAATAATTAAATCATAACAATCTTTTAATTATTAATAACTTAAAATAAACTTAGAATTAAATAATTTTAAAATAAAACACTTGTGTTGGTAAAAAAAAATGATATGACAAATTTATAACTTTAACTATTTATGATATATTTGAAAACAGTCAATACAATAGTAAGGGTTATTTTCACAGGTCTCACACATGGTATTCACTTGTTTACATTTTTTTTGTGCCTCACTTCTTCCTAACTCTTTTCTTAATCTTTCATAACAACCAGTACATCTACTCCTTTTTTTCCTATTACTATTTTTTTGACATTGATTATTTTCAACCAACTTATGTTTATTAGATCTTGGAGAAATAATCTGATCATCAACTTTTTCTAAGGCAATAATAAGTTCCTCTCTAAATTCAGAAATTTGTATTTGTTTTCCTGTAACTTTTTTTTTTTTTTTTTATTAAAAGAACAAAAAGACCGCGGCAGCTCTGGCCATTGGTCAGACAGTGACTTAAATAAATTACATAGTTACATATTTACATGATTTTATACAATATAAAGTTATATTTCTTTGAATAAGGTAGATTTTTTAAGGAAAATAATTAGTTTTTGAGTTGCGGTTGGTTCAGGGCTAAAGATTTCGTATAAGTGAGTGGCTCCAAGGGTTATCATACGTTCTTGCTGGTTATTTCTGCATTCTGTGAAGATGTGTTTGATGGTGAGTTGGACACCGCAGGTAGTACAGTTGGGGGAATCCTCTCTTGTCATAAGGTGGCGGTGGGTTAGTAATGTATGTCTTATTCTTAGGCGGTTTAAAATTGTTTCTTGTCTTCTGGAACAACCTGGAGGAGGCCATGGGAGTATTGATTTTTTTATTTCATTGAGTTTGGTTGATTGATTTGACCAATATCGTTGCCACTTTACGGCATTAAGATTTTTTATATATTTTTTTGCGTCACTGTAGGTGAATCCTGGTACATTGATAGCTTTGGGTGATATGTGTGAAAGTTTTGCGATCTCGTCGGCTTTTTCATTACCTGTTATATTGCAATGTCCTGGAATCTACATGAAGGATATGGGTTTCCCGGCAAAACGTGCAATGTGACAAAAGCTGTGAATATTTCTAGCTATATCGGTAGGGTTATTTATATATTTTCCTGTAACTTGTTTGTATAGTATCATTGCATTTATTACAGATGTTCCTAATAACACACGAAATGCTACTTTATGGTACCATCGAATAGTTTTTCTTAAAGGAGAAAATTAGCTGGTCATTTGATCAAAGACGTCGATACCTTGTTTATGTTTATTATAAAATATTACAATTTCTGGTTTTTTTATGGGTTCACATTTTCTATTTTTTCCCTGTTTCCAATATATTAATACCATGTTTAGTAGAAATCATCCTCACATCTCTTTTATCCTTCCATATACACGCTACAACACTATCGCTATTTGCTTTCCCTTTTATTTCCCCTCTTTTTATTTTTGCATTGAGCACGTCTTTTGGCAATTCTCTGACATTTTTCCGTAGTGTACCTACCATATGAATTTTGTTTTGAAGTAATGTGTGTGCCAATATTATGCTAGTATAAAAATTATCAATTATTAATGTCCTGCCTTCATTTAAATATCCCTCCATTAACTTCATAACAACGTTTCTTGCAACAGGAAAGTCTGTCTGAAGAGATATATTAGAATCTTTTCCACTATATATAATTATTTTATATGTATATCCTATAGAGTCACATAGTTTGTATAATTTTATTCCATACTTAGATGATTTATTGGGCAAGTACTGTCGGAAAATCAATCTGCCTCGAAAAGGAATCATTGATTCATCAATAACCACATTCTCACCAGGAATCTTAGCATCATTGTATGTTTTTACTAACATATCTATTAAAGGTTGAATTTTTCCTAATCTATCATGATCTAAAATGTCATCATTATTAGCTAAATGAAAGAATCGTAGTAAAAGTTGAAACCTATTTCGCGGTATAAGTAAAGGAACATATGAGTTTTTATATAGCAATTTTCGACACCAGTAATCACTTAATTTTGGATAAGGGACTAGTTCTGTATACATCACTATGGCCAACATTTTTTTAATCTCTAAATGGTCAGTATCCACCCAATCTTTTTTATATTTTTTGGCTTGTCTATTTGTTTCTCGCACAATTAATTCAATAACATCACGATTTAAAAATAGATAAAAAAAATTGATCGGCTTACTGTCTGGACCAAGATTGCAATTATTTCCATCGTTACCAATGTATGGAAATGTTGATTGATGTACATCTGTTATGAGCACCATATTATTACTATTATTATTATTATTATTATTATTATTATTACTATATTATTATGTTAATATGTGGGGACAAATGATGACTATGCATTTGTCCATTTTATAACACAAACGACTGACCACCCGTTATCGAGAAGTCAGTCGTGTTATAGCTATGCTAACAAATAAGTCATTGTGCGATCATATTGTAAATTAATGGCTCATAATAAATATCAATTAAATAACTCTAATGTGTTATATTGTGTAATTCATTAACTTCCTTGTTGTTTACCGAAAGTGTGAAGAACTCTTAAAACGTTACGTGTCGTCGGAGGTTTAAACCGTACCGATAACACACACTGAGCTTCGACGGACCTAACCAAGTGGCTCACAACACATCTATAAAATTTTAATAAATATTATAACCAAAATTATATACAAAAAATAATGATTCAGTATAATAACATTAATTTCATTATTTCACATTTTATTATTCATACCTGAAACATTAAACCAATGATCTGTTAGATTTTCCGTTGCCTGTTCGTTGTGTAAATTGTCTACAATATCATTATATTCAAAGTCAAATTGATTATTTTCACTAACATCTTCTATTGATTCATTAGAGGAATCAGATAAATCACTAGGAATAAAATCACTTCCAGAATCTTCAAAATCGGTATCGAGTGCCGATAAAATTTCATCGGAATCCATTTTGGGTAGTAAAAAGTATAAATTTATTAATATAAAGTATGGACAACTTCACGCAGCAACTAATTATTTATGAATAAGGTCTATACAATATTATAGTGTACAGTAACTGAGTTTATCTAATCTAATATCCTATAGTTATAAATAATAATATAATGTAGACAAACAAAATAATATTATGATATCAATTCTTTGAATAAGGTATTTTCGTTCATTTTCAAGAAAAATAAAACAAGTATATATGTATATATTATTGTGCTATCAGCAGTATGAATGCGCCATACGAATTGAAGGTTTCGGTGAAATAATGAGATAACTCTACTTTTTGAAATTGTCCAGGGAACAAAAAAAGCATCTTACTAACTTCTTTTTGATCTAATTAATGTTTTAAAAATTGATTTTCATCTTTAGATTTATGTATAAGAATACTTAAGATTTTATTAGTTTTAGATAAATTTACATAATTTAAATTAATATAATAATTATTTAATGTTGACATTATTCATTAATAAATAGTTACTTTTTGAATTTGTTTACTATGTAATTTATATTAATTACATAAAGTTAAATATTATTTTATAATTTGTTTGTAAGTATTATATTTTATTTATATAAACAATTTTTATATTCATATTATTAAACAATGATTTAAAAATAAAAATAATTTAAACAATTATAAAAATAAATAACCCGCTGGATATCGACCGAATGTCGATAAAGATAATAGTTGATATCAAGGGCGTATTTAAGGGGGTAGATATGGGTGTTAGAACATCCCCCATCGACCGTATTTCACCAAATTGCAAACTTACTTACAGTATCAGTTTGGGCTCGACCTTCTACCTGTGCTGACGCATATCGCTTGCTAGCTCTCTTATCAGCTGTACAATTACATAGCTTATATATATTTTTAATCTAATACACGACAATGCCTTCTTCCTCAGGAGCCCTCCAGATCGAACCTCCAGATCGCAAAACCACCAACCTCAAAGTAACCACAACGAGGAAACAACCTGTTCTGCATGAATTCTCTATTTATTCTAAAAAGGGTAGGAACAATAAGTCAAATAAGAACAATTCAAATCCGGTTTCTCCTAATTTCAAGTCTATAAGTGATAATCCACCTATATTAGATAAATCTAACGTTAGACACATTAATATTAATGACTCTATAGAGTTTAATTTCGATACGAACGGCAGTCCAACGTTCACGGATAACTCGGTGACAGATAACAATTCAATCGTTAATACGCAATTAAATTCTATTGACAATAATCATACTACCTCGTACGGTTATGGCAATGATAGTTCAGGTCACAGATATCTATATTAGACTAGATAACGAACTACCGATGTTTTCCATTGAGAGAAGTGAAGCCCGGGGATGCAAGATTATCATACGTCCGCCATGTTTTCGGTTGGCAAAACAATATTACTTTACATTATATAAAATAGTTGAACTCACTAAATTATTAAATTAAACATTTTTCATTACGTTTAATCAAAATTAAATTTCATTACAGAATTGAGAATATTAATTTAAAATTGCACTATTGATTATTTATGTAATGTATACGAGGTGTGATCAAAAAATACTCGGACTGCGTTAATAATATTTATATCAGTTAAGATAACGAAATTCCGATAATTTCATTCGATAAAGTAACTTCTAACGAGGATTTAAGCGTTGGTTTGAAATCGATAACAATATTTATATTTATGTTATTTTTACAAAAACATGCTTCAGTCGTGTGGCGACAATTATTTAACAATAAATAAAATGACTTATTTAAAATACACAAAACCAAATCATTATACTTACTATATTTAGTTTTAACTATTATATATATATTAATTAAAATATATAAAATAAATTTTTATGTACTGATATACTGTAGTAGGATTTGTTTTCCAAGTTTGGTTACTAACCTTAGCTCAATTGATTGAAAAGCCTGAATTGGCCTGATTTTCGAGGGATTTGCTGGATCCAAGATTGCTATTCCATAAGACCAGACTGGTCTTATGATTAACTTATATATAATAAGTTTGTTTTGGAGTGTTATTTTGGAGTTTAGGAGTGGTCGGAGGAGGTGAAGTCTGTTGTTCGATGATTTTCTTTTTGGTGGGGGCCTTAAGTTAGTTTTTTATCAAGCGTTATGCCCAAGTACTTGATTTTGGTTTAGACAGGGATGGGGGCGTTGTTCATTATTAATTGAGGGCACTCACAGGGAGAATGTTTTAACGTAAAAGTAATTTGTACAGACTTTTCCGTATTAATTTTATTAGCATGATCCTGGAGTTCAGCTGAAGCTAAAATAGGATTTGGACTGGAGGAAAGAATAGCTATGTCATAAGAGCATGTTGCTAGAAGGGTGTTACTAGATTGAGGGATGTCTGCTGTGAATACATTATATAGATCAGGGGATAGATCACTACCCTGTGGAACTCTAGCATTTATTGGGTGAGTAGATGAAATATCGTTCCCCTGTCATACGACAAACGAACGATTTTGTAGGTAAGATTTGATAATTAGATAGTAGGGAGCTGGTATGAAAAGTTTTAATTTGTATAGTAAACCATCGTGCCAGACTTTATCGAATGCTTGAGCAATATATAAAAATAGTCCGGAACAGTATTCTTTATTTTCAAGAGCAGTTGAGATTTCATCAGTAAGACGATGAACTTGATGGATTTTTGAGTGCCTGTTTCGAAAATCAAACTGATTATTCGGTATGATATGGTTGTTTTGAAGGATGGAACGTAATCTTTTTAGGAGGGCCTTTTCGAAAAGTTTACCAAGGACTGGAAGTAAACTTATGGTACGGTATCATGAAGATAAGTGTTTAGGTTTATTTGGTTTGTGTAAAAGTATAATGACTGCAAATTTCCAGATTTTAGAGAAGTGGGAAAATCTTAGTATAGAATTATATATGTGGATGAGCAATGATAAAGTTTTGAGAGACAGATTTTTCAGAATTTTGTTTGTAATGTGGTCATTTCCAGGCGCCTTGCCGGGAGGTAATTTTTTAATTATATACTGCATATACTTTCAGAAAACCCACTTAAGAGTAATGGCTTTACTGCTTATATTCCTTCTACACTGGTATACAGTCTAGGTGTTATTTGGCTAGACCAGCTGATATCGGAATCAAACTTCTTTGATGGTCTAGATCCAGACCACTGCGTTGCATCCTTTCGTCGCATTATTCCACGTCAAGCTAATGATAGCATGCGTACCTTTAACCTAGTAGAATTAAAATTCTTATCGCTTTCTATATCTGATTTTATTTCAATTTACAAAGTTCGCATCAAGGTTTCCCCCAGTATAAGATCACCGGTTTAATGCTCCAATTGCTTAAGATTTGGCCACACAGGACGATAATGCCGTAGTAAACCTCGGTGTTCACATTGTTCTGAAGCCAATCACAACCTATTATCGTGCCCCACGGCTACCACCACGGATTCAATCTGCTTCTACTGCAAGGGCAGTCACATTATATCAGACAGAAACTGCCTAGAGTAGATAAAACAGAAGAAAATCAAAAAAAATTATGGCTGTCGAAAATTTAACCTTCCCAGAAGCTTTTCAATTCAATAACAATAATTTTGTAAGTAAAGCTCACACTTTTTCGCAAGTTGTCTCTCATGGTCGCCCTACACCAAATGTCTCTTCCGGTACTAATGCACCCACAATAATTCCCTGCAATCTCACTAGTAATTCCTCCTCATTTCCAGATTTAAAGTACAACAATAATTTAATGAACCATCAAAAAAGAAAGAGAAAAAATAACAACAATCAAAGATCTTCAGCCTTACCTCGGCTCCCAATCGCCATCTCCTCCCCATTAGCTTCTAATGGTAATTTCCTAACTTACCTTGAATCCCAAAATAACGATGACTCTCGAGATCTAGAGAGCTCAGCTCCCGTGCCCCTCCTATCAGAGGTGGCTAAGGCCTTGTCGAGTCTCATTACAAATATTATTTCTATCAATCAGGAGCATATATCTCCTGAAACTCTATCTAATTTAATCGAGTCATTTCTTGTCAATATCCTATGCAATCCGATCTGAAGATTGGATTCCTAGTTGTTTCCCATCCTCATGTCTAGTATCAACGATTCATCCAACACTCTTCTCACTATCCTTCAATGGAACACCAGGAGCCTTTCTTCACGTCTAATAGATATTCCGCATATACTATCATCTAAATGAATTTCATTTAATGTCAAGTTTCGAGTGCTTCAATCAACCCTGTATTATATCAGTCACTTGGCTAGTTATAACATTAACCTAGTGGGAGTAAAAATCCTGATTATGTTCTTATGTACAATGAAGTTGAGTACACTCAATGTGCTAATACAACAGTCCATGTAAAGGACCACATCCTAACGAAGCCTTTTTTACTGATTGAACTACTAAACGCTATCAACTTCAGGAGATCTGCTTCTGGATTAGACTTTATTTCCTCCATCCTTATTAAAAACCTGCCTGATAGAGCTATCAGCTGTTTACTAGATATACTTAACAACCTATTTTTTAACCTTAAGGTCCCGGTTTCTTGGAGGCAGTTCAAGGTTATCCCTATACCTAAGCCGAATACCAACTTGACTTCATACAGACCAATTGCCCTTTCTTCAATACTTTGCAAATTAACGGAGCATATTATAAAAAACTAGGTTGGATTGGTGGGTTTAATATTTGTCAATTCTACCCGAGAAACTATTTGGTTTTCGTGAAGATCGTGGCACCTTAGAGTGTCTGTCCTGTTTAATTACAAAAGTTCATAAAAAATTAAAATCAATTGTTGAAGAGTCGCGTGTTAGCGGCTTTGTAAGCGGGCCGCGGGTTTACAGCTACCTGAAACTTGACCTTTGTATAGTGTTAGATATCTAACAGGTCATCAAATGATTTGACATTCATCAATAGTACACGCCCGTCCAAAAACATTTGCCGAAATTAATAATAGTTTTAATATTATAAGAAGTGTATGGAAAATACCTATCACGTTTTGCGTTATCGAAAAATACTCTTATGTATTAATATTCTTGCAAACAAACGTATTACCATCGATTATAAATAGCCTGATTCCGCCTGACGCCGAACGCGTTTTTCCGCAAATAGTATTTTATCTATTTTTATACCTACATTGTTAATCGCTAATATAATACGCAATATCTACTGCTTATCTAACAGCAGATTATTAGCACATAACTCACCGCACGTGGCATCACGGGCTCAGTCTGAGCTTGGTAGCCGTCGAGTGTGATTCTTTGCTACGCACACCGCTTTGGTTACGCGCTGGCATAATTTGTACTTAGTTTTTTTACCTACTTTTTTACCTTTTTTTTTTACCTAAATTTCGGGTAAGTGGCCAATTCAATATCATGCCGAGAGCGCAAAGAGCACGCATTGGCAGAATAACTGCCAATTCAACTCGAATGTATAATAGAAGGCAACAAAATAACACACCAGAAAGTTCTCAAACACTTGCACAGAAGCAACGTGACGCTTTGAGTATGAAATCTTCGTTTAATTATCAATCCGAGATTGATTATTTAAATATTAAAGCGCTTCAAATTGGACGAATGACTGTATTATGTCCTAAGTGCCATGTAAAAAAATGGAAAGATGAAACCCATGGACTTTGCTGCGCTGACGGTAAAGTTGTTTTACACTAATTTGAGGATCTTCCAGACCTAATTAAAAGTTTAATTGATAATTCTTACCCTCTATCAAAACATTTCTTTGATAATTCTAGACTGTATAATACTCTGTTTCAAATGACATCGTTTGGAGCAAACGAAATAGCTGAAAGGAACTTCATGCCCTCTTTTAAAATGCAGGGTCAAGTGCATCATTTAATAGGTGGTTTATTACCAGAAATTGGAAATAATGCTAAATTTTTACAAATATATTTTATGTCAGCTTCGGATCAAATATCTATTCGAACAAATATGATTCCAAATTTAAAAAGAGGTCTCATTGAATCATTGCAAACAGTTTTGCGTGAAAATAATCACCTCATACAGAACTTCAGATCTAATCTGGAGTCGAGGTCTTTTGATGAGTTGCAAAACATCAAGTTAATTATTCATGCTGACAGAGTTCCTCAAGATGAACACAGAGGTCAATATAATGCACCTACCATCGATGAAGTAGCTGTATTATTATTTAATGAAGATAAAGGTCCCAGAGATAAAGTTCTGCACGGTCGGAGTGGACACTTGAGTCGAGTTTCCGAATTGAATAGATCTTATGATGCACTGCAATATCCATTGATGTATACTAGAGGCGAAGACGGTTATCATATTAATATTTTACAGAAAAATAACCAAAATCGAACAAAAACTGTCTCCTGCATGCAATTTTATTCCTATAGGTTTATGGTTAGAGAAACAAGTCTAAATCATCTACATTATTACAAAACATTATTCAGCCAATTCGCCGTAGATATGATGGCAAAAATGATTTCTGAAAGGTGTAATAATAAGTTTATTGGTGGCATAACATTTGTTTTCGCTGGTGATTTCCGTCAAACCTTACCAGTAATCCCTAAAGGTACTCAAGCTGATGTCGTTAATGCTTGCTTAAAATCTTCCCCTATATGGAACTATGTTGAAAAACTTTATTTGCGAACAAACATAAGAGTTTATTTATGTGGAGAGGACGATATTTTTCCAGCACAGTTGTTCAAAATTGGAAATGGAACTTTAGAAAATGAAAATGGTTACATTTCTGTTAATCACACGATTGGACGGGTGGTCAATAACATGGAAGAGTTGATTTCTACAGTTTATCCTGACATTTTTAATCTGTCCAATAAATCTTATCAGTGGTTATGTGAAAGAGCTATTATCTCTCCGAGAAATGTAACAGCAGGAGAAATAAATGATATCATCCTTCTAAAATTCGATGGACACTCACGCGAATATCTATCTATTGATACAGTTACATCAACCGATGATACTATTCATTATCCACAAGAATTTCTCAATTCTCTTTCTCCTTCGGGATTTCCTTCTCATAAGCTAAAATTAAAAATTGGTGTTCCAATTACATTATTACGTAATCTTCAACCACCGAACTTATGTAACGGTACAAGATTACAAATAAAATCGTTGCAAAATAATATTATAGAAGCCGTAATTCTCACAGAGCCAGCGAAAGGAGAAATTACATTTATACCAAGAATTCCCATGATTCCCTCTGACTTGCCGTTTTCTTTCAAACGGCTTCAATTCCCGGTTAAAGTTTCTTTTGCCATTACCATAAACAAAACGCAAGGTCAAACATTCAAGTACGTTGGCGTAGATCTTCGTACAGAGTGCTTTTCACATGGGCAAATACGTGGCATTTTCTCGAACTGGGCATCCGAATCATCTTATGATTTTAATTTCAACAGGAAATACAACAAAAAACATCATATACTCAGAAGTCTTATAAAATTCTTATTTTAATTCTTTTTTTTTCTTTTTTTTCTTCATCAACTTCAATCAAATTCTTTATCAACCATAAATTATTTATTTTTTATCTGTATCTATTTTTATCATTTATAACGCTAGAAAAAATTCAATTCGTTTTCATTAACCGTTTTTTTTATATTTAATGGCGATCACATTAAACAATAATATTTGAATAAAAAATTAACGGAGTTCACGGGCGAAGATGTGACGGGTCGGCTAGTATTCATATATTCTTGCATAGAAATTTAATTTTGTTCTAATTTTGTCCAAGTTTACTTTATAAATTTCAATTTGTTTTCTTGTTCTTTTCGAGGTGTGTTTATACGATTTTTTTTAATACTTTTGACTTTTAATTAAGTTTCATTTTGGATGTCTAATAATATATTAATAACTTCATGAATAAAAGGATGTGAAGTATAAAATTGTGAGTTATAATGTCGGTGGAATGATTCTGGTCCATTGGTCATTCTATCTTCTGAAGGTTTATCAGCCCATATAATTGGCGGAAAATTTGCATCAGGACATATGTAATTATAAAATATATAATCCGTAAAATCAATGTTATCGGTTGGAACATTTGCAATTAAACACGAAAAAGCATCGCCGACCCCATTTTCGGGTAAATAACCAAGAGCGAAAAAACATTTTAACCAAAGATCTATTTCTGATTTTGAATTGTATTCTTTTATAAGTTGTTATTGCTTTAAATTTTCCTAAACCAACTTTACCTAAATGGAATCTACAGGCCATAATTTTGCTTTTGAAAGACTTCTTTGATAGCATTTTGTGCTTTTTTTTCAAAATGAAAATGAAAATTAGAATTAGCCAATAATATTAATAAATGTATGCTTGTCAACTTTAAACATAATTTTGTAATCGTGCGCCACATATCTACATAAACTTCAAGTAATTATGAAAATGATTAACAACAGATTTAATCAACCAAATTATTCAACTAAAACGATCGTGTGAAAATCAAATTTCAAAATTCAATTCCGTACGTAACTTGGCAAAATTAATAATTGTAGATAATTATTTAATAGCGACAAATTTTCCGGATTTATTTACTGTTTGTTTTATTTATTTATTTTTTTTTTTTGATAATACCAGTGACGATGGCATATGCAGAAAGAAGTTTTTTAAAACTTAAAATAATTAAAAAATATCTTCGAAGTACGATGACCCATATTCGTTTGTCAAGTTTAGCTGTACAATCAATTGAAAAGAAAATTGCCGAAGCAATTAACACATCAGATATAATAAGAAGTCCATAAAAACGTTTTAAGTTTATAGTCTTAATTGTTATTCATTAGAATGGTAGCTATTTACTGATTTTGTTGCTCATCGATACTATTAAGTATTAAGTCAATAACAAATATTTATTATTAATAAAATGATTCTAAAATAATAAGATGTGTATTTACTATTTAATAATATATGTAATAATATTTAAAAAAATTTTAATATAATTTTAGTAAGGTGAATATACCCCCCCCCCAGATATTCTTAATATTTACACTTGGAAGAGGGAGGGGGGCACTGAAAAATTTGCTCTCGGAACAAATTTTGAAGTTACGCCACTGATGAGTATAATATACATTATACATTAACTGTACAACAAAGTAATTTGTTCAGAATTATGATATTTTTATCTGAATCAGTTATTTAATATTTACAATATGATAATTGTATTTGTATAATTAAGAAATATTAAGAGTTGATAATAATCCTTACTGATGAAGCAAAACTGATACAAAAACTGTTTCCTATCGCTCTAGACCTTTTTGGTTTTTACTAATGCAATATAGGCCTGTATTAATCCTACGCTCTATGTAGACAGTCCGTAATTTTTTTTTTTTTATATATTGATGTTGACCTTGTTATTGGATAACTAAGGAATTAACGTAATATATTACTATTATAATTGGATTAAATGTACAAATAACTGTACCCCTAACTAATACTTGTACGTCCCAGGTGTAATATAGCATAGAGGTTCTTGCCACCAGTACGACTATTTACTATGCATCTATTTATTAAAGTTTGACCTTCGATATATTCTAACAATCGATTTTTCAGCTATGTTAAAATTATACGCATCAAATAATCGTTGAATATATGTTAATAAATGTCAAAAATTAGTCATCAAATAGGCCTGCACGCATTACACACCCGTGTAAAATGGAAACCTTCATACATGATTCATAACACACGCCACGTCATGCGTGTACACTACAGTCCACCATTATAAATATTCATTATTTTATTACTCAACGCTATCTAGCAACATATTATCACGTATTTTGATAGCGAATACGGTAATTTGTTATTAACATTTTATTTTTATTTATCACTCTTGTAAGTTGTGGTTATATTACTGTGGCCAAAATAAATATCGCATTGCACGGGTCACATAAACCGTAGTACAAGTATTTATTTTTTTAAGTAGTCTCACGCATTACATCATAATATTAAAGCGGTCCTATTTTCCCATCACTTTTAACGACAATTTAGTGGAAGTGTGACCACTTGCATGCGTTGTTTAACCAATACTTTTTTTTATTTTATTCAGTATAATTTTGATCCCGTTTTACCGTCAAATTAAAATCAAATTATATTATCGTCTATTCGCTCACAGAGGAATACGGAACACAAAAATATTACAATCGTTGGAAATAAAATTTGACCGCCGCAGAACGGTTAATGAACTAATGGAATTTTGGGCAATAAAAACCTCACTGAAACAAACCTACTATTCGTTTATTATTTTCGTTATTTTTCTTGGTATCTCGCGAAGTTCAACCGCGAACATTGCATAAAATTATAAATTTCTTTTCACTGACTCTCGGAGTTTTTGCTATGATTCGGTCGGTTTCTGCTGCGCTAACCTAGCTGAAAACACCGGTATGTAGATGTGCGAAGGTGACCGACATAGATAAGTAAACCTTTACTTGACCATCGGTTTTAGCTGATGGTAGGGAGCGTGTTTATTCTATAGAGATTAGAGGCCACGGAGAAAAAATTAAAATAATTCTTGCATAACACGTTTACAATGCTTTAATCGAACGGAGTGGTTCGGGAAAACGTAAAACAATTTTAACACTTTATGGAAATAAGTTGGTCACACCGTTACGATCGAGTCGGCGTCCCGAAGGCGTGGGTTTCCGACCCCCGTTAAGATTTTTGTGTATACTTTGCCCGGCGGCCGATTGACGGTAAATATTTGGACGTTCAGCAGTGTTTTTGCGCTTTCAGGATTTTATTTTATCCCCCGTCCACCGCGATCCGTATTGTGCATAGTGATTGAATATTGCTTAATTATTTCCCGTTTTCGTTTTATGAGCTTTTTCGTCGAGTCGATTTACAAAGTGACGTGATTATCGAATACCAGGATTGCCATGTCGCAGAGATCGTCAAGAAAAGGCGGCGCGTCTAGGAACACGCCGCAGCCTGACGAGTCAACGGCCAGCACAACAAACAGTGAAAAGAGCAGGAGGACCGCGACACTGAGCCCTACCCGGTTCAGTCGAATTCAAGAGAAACACGAGTTACAAAATTTGAACAACCGTCTGGCTGCCTACATTGACCGCGTCAAGTATTTGGAAACGGAAAATTCTAAATTGACACACGAGTTGCACTCGTCGCAAGAGGTGACCACCCGGGAGGTGTCTAACGTCAAAGTACTGTTTGAATCCGAGCTTGATGATCTGAGAAATGCATTGGACCGCGAAGCCAAACAAAAAAGCCGTTTGGAGCTGGAAAATCGGCGCAAAATTTTGGAAGTAGAAGAACTCAAAACTAAGTGAGTACTTCTGATCTAACTCAGGTCATCAATCGATTATTATTCTTTCATATTTTTCTAATGATCGCAACATAAATAATACATTTTAAGAAACTAAATTTTGCAAATTTATCAGAAAAAGAAAACTTATTGTTTTTCTCATATTTGTTTATAATAGTTCATTTGTAAAATATTTTGTACGTTTAGTTTTTGGCTATCTATGAAATTATAATACATTACTCAAAGTTGTTGGCAAAATATTTAAAAACATTGTACATTTTATTACTAATATTGGGTTATTCATGTTTATGTTATATTGGTTAATCTGTTAAATATTTAAATAATTATTTCATTCAAATTCATGCTAAGGTCCTACATTATTTTATTAAATGTATTCATTTTGAATAAATTCTTAGATTCTTTGATACTTATGTATCTATCTTATTTTATTTTTCTGAATTAATATAAGAGCCAAATTAGTGACATTTTATATTATTAGGTTTATTTAAACTTAAAATCTGTAGTTCAACATTATTATTACATTATTTTTTTATAGTTCATTTTATTTTTGTGTTATTTTTTGAAGAGGTTGTTGTACTAATTTATGCAATTGGCACCTTTCTTATTGTATATTTATTTATGTGTTAGGTTAAAGAAGTTTTGAAGTATTTGTGCTTTTGCGATTAAGATTATATTAAAAAAAATTCTTATTTTATTAGATATTTTTACATATTTTATTAAAATTTTTTATACTGTATTAAAATGTATAAATTCAATGTCAGACAATTTATTTTTGATTATTGTGTTTTTTTTTTTTTACTTATTAACACCTGCTTTATTAATTAATCAATTTATTAGGAAATAAAAATTAATAAATACTACCTACATAAAATTTATTTTAATTATAAAATTTATTTTATTAATACATTTATACTCTTTTTTTTTTTTTTAACTTATTATTAATTAGTCATTACTTTTACAAACTTAATTTTTTAAAAATAATTTAATTTTCTTAATTATATTTTACAATACATTTTCTTCTTCAAAAACCTTACAAACATGTCTTAGGCTTATAATATTACCTATCTAAGACAAAATTATTAAAATATTTTAGTAACAAATATAAATTTACATGAATTTAATAAATAATTTTAATAAACAAATAATCACACATAAATTTACTAAATAGTAAATAAAATGCATAAGAAATTAATATTTTTTATATTTAAGTTCCTAACTACATTTAAATTGCTGTCTTTTGCAGCAAAGAATAATACTAATTGTGCCCTGGTTTATTATTTTTGAAGGGGGTTTTATTTTGTAAATGTTAACATATTCACTCACTAATTTCATCTATGCCATCTGAATTCTAGCTATTATATATTTCTCAATAAGTTTTTCACATTGATAAGGTTTTCAAGTAACCAACTTTTCTGTAATCTATTGATGTCTTCCGTCCCTTAATTCTTTGAAAAATTACAGATATGAATACTTTGAACTTTGTAAGTATAAGTCCCACTTTTCATAGCATTTACTGCTATTTCTATATCCATAACACTATATTTTGGATAAAGTAATTTTCTTGCATAGTTTTGGATCTTAAACAAGATGTAATACTAATAAAAATGCTAATACCTACAGAAAATAATTTAAAATACAAATTCTGCTGAGTACAGTTTGGGAACCGCTGATTTATTCAAGTGTTATTTTGTTCTATTTTAGATTTGATAAAGCTACTAAAGAATTAAAAGAAGCTACACCATATATTGCCCGATTTAATGAATTGAATTCCAAATTTGGTCAAACTTTAATTGACAATAAAAATTTAAAAGACGCTAATAAGGTAAGATTATTTTTATTTGTAGAATAAAACTATTATTGTATTTATTATTTAATATCAAAAAATATTGTTATAATAACAATTCATATAACATCTTGGTAGTTAAGTTGACTATTGTAAAATATTTTACTTATTATATTGTTACTATTTTATTTATTCTGTTGTATTTGATTTTAGAAACTGACTAAAGAATTAGCTATAGAAAAGAAAAATGTAAAAGATGTTCAAAAAACATTAGAAGAAGAAATATTACAAAGAGTCACAGCTGAAAACAAATTACAAAGTTTAAAAGAAAATTTCAAATTCAAAGAAGAGGTAAAGTTATTATTATTTTATTTTAAGTACTTTTAATAGATCTTAAAATCTTGTTGTATTATTTATAGGTCCATAAACAACAGCTTAATGATACTAGAACTAGTCGCCGTACAGAAGTTATCAGTGAAGTTGATGGACGTTTAGTAAAGGAGTATGAAGATAAATTACAATCTGAACTACAGAAGCTACGACAACAAGCTGAAGAAGATGTCAAACGGAATAAAAAAGAAATTTCTGAATTGTTTGATAGCAAGGTATGTATGTATATATATATATATATATATATGTATATAATAAATGTATTTCTTTATGTTTCATAAATATTTAAGTCTGTTAAATTTTACAGTTCCAAAACTTAGAAAATGAATTGCAGCGGAAAAAAAAAGCTATGGAATTAGCACAAGAAGATTTAAATGCAACAAATGCACGTGTCACTGAACTAACACAACAAATTAATGATTTATTATCCTGTAATAATGATTATCTGGTATGAAAATTAATAAATTACTATTTTATATTAATTGTTTACACTTGTGCCTATAAATAATAAAGAAAATACTTGTAGCGGAAAATAACTGATTTAGAAAGACAAAAAGAAAGTCAAAGAACCAAGTATCTTGCAGAAATTCAAGGACTTGATCAACAATTAACTGCTATGCAAGATGATATGTCCCAGAAAGTACAAGAATATCAAGACTTAATGGATATCAAAGTGGCACTTGATATGGAAATTAGTGCTTATCGTAAATTATTGGAGAGTGAAGAAAGACGATTGAGTATTACACCAAATACATCAGTAGTAGGTAGCCCAAGAGGCAAAAAGAGGAAATTATTTCAACGTGATGAAACTGAATATGAATTTTCTAATGTTATTACTGCTTCATCAACCGGTGATATCGAAATAAGTGAAGTGTGTCCAGATGGACAATTTGTGAAACTATACAACAAAGGATCTAAAGTAATAATATATACTTAGAATTTTAATGGAAAAATTAATATAATAATTCTTTAGGAAATTTCATTAAGTGGACATGAATTAGTACGTACGACTGCTGGGCAAAATCTTTCTACAGTGTTTAAATTTCATCGTACAGTAAAATTAGGAGCTGGTAATTGGTTAACTATATGGTCTTCAACTGCCAGTAATCAAATACATGAACCTAGTGCTGGATCAATTGTTATGAATACTCAAGCTTGGGTCAGCGGAGATCTTATGGCTACTATACTCTTAAATTCAGAAGGACAAGTATGTTTGTATATAAATTCTTATGTATAAATAATAAAAATAAATAATTTTTTTTTTTTTTTAGGAAGTAGCTACCCATGAGCTTAAAAAAGGACATGTCTCAAATTTACGAGGCAGTGAAGGTTATGGTGATTATGAATCTGAATTATTTCACCAACCAGTAAGTAGTATTAACTATTTAATTCATTTTTATAGCAAGATAGATATTATTAACCTAAGATAAGGAAAGTTTTCATAATGAAATACTTTTGTAGGGCGATCCTCAAACTGGCGACAAATGTATTATCATGTGAAGTTATTCTCAATATTTTACTACTAAAAACAAAATTCAAAAGTAAAAAAAATAAAGCCAAAAGAAAATCACTTGTAGTTAATCAGAGTTTATCACGTGTTAATTATTGATTTATCATTGTCATTATTATTTTTAAGCTTTTTTTTTTTTTACTAATACTTATTTATTATTATTTTATTTATTTTAATACTTTTTTTTTTTTTTTGTATTTGAGTTTAAATTGATAAAAACAATACAAAATAAAATAATAATATTTTACCATATTAATGATAGTAAATAAAAAAAAATCAAATTACGTAATTCAATTTCTGATTTCATTTTAAATTGTAATTAAAAATCATTTTTTTTTTTTTTTTTTGACCAATGATGCATAAGTGTATCAAATATTATTGTACTTAATAATAAAAAATGATTATTGTATCCAGTTGAATGTTCATAATTATGTTGTAAAACCAATTAATAATATGAGTTTTATTAATATATATGTTTATATATTTTTATTTACTGTTTAATTTATCATTATTATAATAATAAATAATGATTCTATTAATATTTCCACAAATTGATCCTAGTAGAGTAATTCATAATAGTTTTTAATATTAACTCGTACAATTCTTAAGACTTTGCTGTTAATATTATTCACTACTAATATAGTTTTCACATAGTAATTATTTAAAAATATCATTTTACAAATTATGTAAATGTACAAGAATATTTGATTTCATATTTTAGTATTTTTATAGTACTGACATTGGTTTTCAGTTATTAGCAAAAATGTATTATAATGAAGTATGGAATATAAATATTTTATTTATTGTTCTCGTAAAATTAATATCAGATGTACAATTAATTATTTCACTCTTATGCCGAAGGTCATAATTTAATTTTTACCATGACAATTGTACTTTTTTTTTTAAATTTTTTAAAGTATAGATTGATCAATACTTAGTCTTCCAAAATAAATATAATTTAAGAAACTAAGTAGTTGATAAATTCAGTCTCATTGTTTTAATTTATGTGTTAGATCTGTGTTATTTCGACTCAATTATAAATGTAATCAATTTTACTTAATTCTAATCAATAGGAATTCATACATTATTTCATGTCCCAATTGAATTTATAGGCTGCTATAGTTATAAATTTAACATGAAAACTATAATAATATTGTACATTTTATTTTAATTGGACTTACTGTAACTGATGTATTGAATCTTAATTTTTATTTAAATCACAATCAAATTATACTTGTACTGTTTTTTTTATTTTAAACTTAATTACATGTTAATCAAATTAATTTTTTTTATTTTAAGTATAAAGCCATCTTTTTTTTTAATAATTATAAGTTTTAAGTTAATTGACTAACAACTTATCTGCATTTATTTTGTATACAATTAAAACATGTAAAACAAAATGTTTAATTAATGTAAGTTATAGTATTTCACTGATTATGCACCTAAAATTAAAGATTTTTATTTATATTTAAGATTATTTATTTAAATATATTTATTTTATCAAATATTTTATTGTGTTCTATGAATCATATAGATTATTGTTTAAATTAAAATATTATTTGTGAAGAAAGTATTAAATAAATAAACGTGAAAATACTTATGTATGTATTATATATGCATAGAATTATGATTTTGAAGTATTAATATTTATTTAAATGTACATTTACTTAGGATTTGTATATTAGGTAATAATTTTTTTTAATTTTTTTTCTGAAATAAACTTAGAATATTCTTATTTTTTCATACAACTTTTGAATAATTGTATATTAAGAGGCTAGGAAAGCAACTGTGCTTACCAATCGATTCACTACTATCCCTCCCACCCCATTAAGTTTCAAAAATACACCAAATAAATTAAATATATAAAGTAATACACACAAAGTCCTAAGTGGTGTTTAACATTGCTGTCAGAAATTTCAACAAATAAAAAATGAAAAACCTACGCTAATTGATTTATAATGCTTCAATTCAGAATGTTATTTTATACATATGGTAGGTATATAGAAAAATATTAGATTGAATATATTTTTATTATTATATAATTTTATACAAATAAAAAAAATTATTGATTTCATGTTGTCATCTTTTTTTCCGGTTATTATAGTTTCTTGACAGCTTTTGTTCCATGATAAATGAATAAAGTACTTTTTACTTTTAAATGTAAATAATCATGATTCTGGATGCCTAATATAAAGTTAAGCCTAGAATTCATGAGCTAATTTTGTTAAAACTTAATTATACTAATTTAATAACTAATAACTTAGTTGATTATAATAATATTGCAGCAATAAAAAATTGATAGTTTTTCAAATATGTTAAGTTATTAATAGTTTTCTAAATTTTATGAAGAGCACCTTTTTATGGATTAATTTTATCAATCGGCTTCAAAATCACAAATTTCAACATCATCTCTTTAAGACTAAAGTATTTAAAAGGGAAAACATTTAATTTAATTTAAAATACTTGACATTAACAATTTTGCAAAAGCAAATTTAAAATTAGAAAATGAAGTTGTGATATTACTTATTATATAGTCGGTAAAGATAGTACAAACCATCACTCTGTAGTTATGTCAACAGACATACTTTTTTTTATTCCGGAATGTTCTATTATTCCAAAAACCGTAACATTTACCTGTACCTATCATAGTGGAACGTCAATAAGTCGAATTAAATACCATAAAAATAATTATCTATTAAAAAATTGATTGCTCAAAAGAAAAATCATAGTTAACTCGAATATTTCGTGTTTTGACTATGGACGGATAATGTCGATTATGTATTAACACTATAATAAATCAACAATCAAATGAAAAACCAAACGAAAATATTTTTTGTTTCCAGGCAATTGGTCACCTCCTAATATTAGACCAAATTGTCACAATAAATCGTATTAGTATGTCAGGTAAGTATATGATTTCATTAGGTACTTCATAGATAGTAAAACATCCCGTAATAAAATAAGTCTAAACCCTTATATTAAAATAAGGGGTTACCCTCACCTATAAATTCATACTGGCCTATGTTGTAAACACGAAAAGGTACGTTAGACCTCAATCGTATAGACGTTCTCTACGTAATAAAAATGTTTTAAATGAAGGGCTTTTAAAATAAATTACATGGTAGGCTTATTTAAGTCAGTCTGACACTGCAATCACCAGGGCCATCGTGAAGGGGGGGGAGCAAGGGAACCATTTGCCCCAGGCTCCAGTCTAGAAAATTTGAAGGGGCCCAAATTGATTAAACTGATTTTAATTCTTTACTCTGTGTTACTTATTAGAGATTATTGATAATAATTCATTATTTCTAAACTATTTTTTTATGAAATATTTATAAATTTAATAAAATAAAATTTAAATATATTTATATTTAAGCGCTATTATATAGGCCACATTTTCAGATATTCTAATTTCCAGTGGCGTATTTTCAATTTTTTCTGGGGGGTCCACATTTTATACATAATTAATTTAAACTATATATTATATTGTAATAGTTACGTCCTTGTACAGTTTTTGGAGGAAGTTGAACTAAATATATAATGTAATAATCGTATAGTCTTATGTAACATTATATATATGTACCTATATATTGTAAAGTATTGTTATAAAATAAATTCCAGTTGTCTCGATTTTTTGGTCAATTCCTTTACTACTTCATCAACAGTAATTTCAACTTCCCTGTGAATGTTTAACATAGCCAATTTTGCAAATATGTAAGAATTTTAGTTTATTTTTTGAAGAGGTTCTAGGGAGGATCCAGTACCCCTGGACCTCTCCCCCCCCCATAAATACGCCTCTGCTAATTTCTAAATATTTATAACAGTAATTTATTATGATTACTGCTGGATTGTGAAGAATGAAAAAATGTCCAAATTTAAGAAGAAATTTGCTATCGCAAGTATCTACACCACAAAATCCAAATTCTTACTTTCTATGGCTTTTTATATACTAACTATAAATACATTTAATTTTAATTAAATAAACTGGTAATATATTTTTAAGAAGTTATTAATAATGTATTTCATTGTATTTTGATGCATTTAAATGAACTTGATTGGTTGTGGTTTAGAAAATTATATTTACCAACATTTGGCAAATTTTTATTATCATACTAATATATATAATTGTGATAATTGGAGGGTCCCGAATTAATTTGTCCCAGGCCTTGAAAGTCCTTAGGACCTGCATTTTGAATAGTACATTTCAATTGCACATATTTATAGTATCCATAAACCTTACACTATAAAAAAAATATATAGGACTATTCAATACGATATAAACAACCAAAAAAAAAAAGAATAAAAGATGATAAAAAATAAAAATTAGTAAAATTCATTATATCGTTGACATAAATTTTAATAAGAATTGTTTCGGGCATTAATTTGTGGCATCCCCTTCCCAGTAAAAATATACAGTTGGGGTGTGAAAAAAAATAGTAAGGGAGCTTCGCCCCCCCTACACACATTTCCAATTCGAGCACTAATAGAGCCGTAATAATTACAAATTGAACTATTATTTCAATCATGGAATCATGTAGGTACAAAAAAACTTCAAAAGTAAATTAAATGTATTGTAAATTATTACTAAGTATAATTAATAATACTGATCATTGTATATCTAAATAGATAAACCCATTCTGAGATACAGAAACAATAATATTATTATAATCTAATACCTATATTGATATTGTGTATTGTGTAAATATAAAAAAGTATTTAAATTACGAACAATATTTAATTTGTATTGTAATATAATTTGTCGACGTTTTGAATACATAATTAATTACTTAAATTTAATAGATAAAAATTATATTACTTTGTATATAATTAAAATGATGTCTGTAATCTTTGTTTAAATATAACTTCTATCGTTGTATGGATATTTTTACGGAATTCGCGATTCAAAATTAATGATTGCTTGTGTATCTACGCTATCGATGTATTGCTATGGATTGGATAGTCCTAAAGGCTAAAAATGCGAAGTTCACGCATGAATTAATAATGTTACAGTTTACGTAGTGTAAGTGTACCCATATGTAAGAGTTGAAGTTTGTAAATTTATATATTTAAATAGGTAGTTACACCAAATAAAGTGGAAAGGAAAATATTTGCCTATTCCTTGTCATTATAAATCCTAAAATGTTTAGTTATGATGTTTAGCTTGTTTCGTTTCATTGAATATGCTGAACTTGAATCAATATTTAATTTGTAATAATATTTATATTTGTAATAGCAATGATAATTTATTGAACGACATATTATAAATTGGATATGTAGAAAAATATTTTACTCTACAGGTATATATATATAGGTAAAATCAAGTTGTAACTTAATCAATGTAATGTTAGTTTTAATAATTTTAAATATTGTTGCATTTCCAGCTTATCACATTTTCTATACATAAAAAGTAAACAATATAAGTACATAATAGATATACTTAATTTCATCTAAATCATATGGATATTTGTTTTGGACATACTTAAGATATAAATATAAAAAATCGTGTTATATTTTGACTATGATTTTTTGCTGTTGTGATTTTAGTGATTACTGAAAATGTAATCGATATCTATGGACATGACTTATATGATCAAAAAAATATATATTATCAAGATCAAAGTGCATAGGGGATGTTTTTGAAAATCTTTTTAATAGTTAAAAAAAGTAATGTTTTAATTCTGATATATTTTATTTATTGAATTAAAATTAATGATATTGTTATTAGCGGGTATGTTTAAAGTGTATAAATAATATTTATTAAATATAGCAATAAAAAATATACAAACATAGAAATGTATAATATTTACTACCTATTTATTTAGTATATGTGCATAATAGATTATAAATATAATAAATAATGATATGCCTATGTGCTATGGCCTATTAAAGTACAAAAACCAAATAATACGTACCTTTCTATTGGATTGCAGATGAAAAATAGTAATTATTTATTATAGTGGTGCACACTACACATGGGCGCCAGTGTTATACAGAAGTATAGTATGCAGCTGCAATTTCCCGGAATACAAAACCAATTTTTTTTTATATTGTCTAATTAGCTAACCCGTCAATCGTTGTCGTGTTGCTTCTGAAGGAAATTCAATGAAACTTTAAATCCAATACACACTGTTGTTTTTTGTTGAAACTTTTTTTTAAAAAAAAAAGAAAAAGAAAACTTAAAATTAATTTGTTCAAGTGCTTTTGGATACAAGTATTTTTTGTTTTTTCCTTTTCATGAGTACACGAATAAATCAGATGATTTTCTGACGCGTTAGGTGGCTATACCCACGTAAGCACGGATTTTCCAAATCTAGCCTACAAACTTGCAGCGATTATCGTTGTGTTTTATTGATAATCAACATGGCAAGTGTCTCTTATTGGAGACACACTAAACATTAGCATTTCTGCGAGATAAAATGCAATTCTTGCAATTTTAATTTCCACCTACGCAGCATATTTCTGAAGTTTCAGTCTTGAATTTCAATGGCCGGAAAAGTTCACATTACTTGTAATTTTTCCAAAAACGACACTTTTATAAAGACTTGAATCATAATTAGCATTTTAATTAAACGAAACAATATTAAAATCAATGTGCTATGTTCGTATGGATCGGACACTGTATTCTCGATTGGTCGATCATCCTAGAATTTTATGAATTGAATATTGAATATATTAATCAATATTAATATAAAAATATTGATTGCTTTACCAGTAACCACTGCAGGCAGTGAAACATCTTTTTCCTCTTTACGGCGCTTAAAAAACATATTTGAGGAACACAACTGGTGAAAATTGGTTGAACGGCTTAGCAGTTATCTAACTTTAAAAAGTAGACGCATTAAGTTAATTTAATTAAAAATATTTATTTCTTTTTGTATTAATTATAATAATATATATGAGAAAAATTTTAATATACGTAAAGTAATCAATTTCATGCGTAAAATTGTATCAATTAATTTTGAATAATACCCTCCCCCCTTAGAAATTTCTAGCTACGCGTCTGGTCTATATTGGTCCAAAAATGGTTCAATATGATCATCCCACCACTTAAAAATCATTTTAACAATTTATTTTGGAATTATATAAAAAAAAGTAATAAAAAACACGTAATATTATGATTTATTAAATAGGTTTTAAGTAGGAAAAAATATTTAATTTATTTTGAACCAAGTTCACACCTTTCATGATACGATACTGATCATTAATAATAACAAAAAATAGAACTATTTTCTAAATGACTGATAATCAATTTTGATGATTCAGTCATGTTGAAACAAGTGTTCACACGTTCATAACTTGTTCAGTTTTGATGAATCAGTCATAATGAACTTTTCAACTGACTCATGTGAACACAACTTAATACAAGTAATATCTTTCAGCGCTCAATGCAAGAATTCTTTTGGCAATCTTCCATTTTAAACGAGTTAAGCATATAACTTAAACTGGCAGAATTTTGGGAGCCGGAAGGACCTCAAATTATAGCCGTTGTCGGATATCCGTGAGGGGGCTGTGGGGGGACTACCCCCCTGTTAACCTCTAAGTCTCCTCAAAAATGTTTGCCAAATGTTTTTTCAAACATATAATGTACATTTCAAATATTGAGAACATTTTCCTTATAATGTTATACAGTGTACTCTTGATTATCCGCGGAATAGGATGACAGGACATCCACGGATAAACGAATTCAGCAGACAATCCGCTGATAAAAATTTTAAAACTAAAGTGACGCAAAACACTTTAAACACAAATGCGAAGTTTTGGTTGATACGTATTTGTGCAGTAGACAGGAGACTAAATAGGTGTACGCGTTATTAGATCATATGCAATGTAATGTACAATCCGCGTTATCGCGTAATCGACTATCACAACCCAATTAAACCGATAATGATTTATAACGTAAAGATATAAATATTTTTTTTGTATCCGCGGAAAACAGCGGATAATCCGCAACGCGGATAGTTAGTCTGCTCGCGGATAATCGAAAGTACATTTTATATACATGGATTAAATATATTTATATTTAATATATGGTATATATACCTATACAACAACGATCGATTGGTCGATCTTTCTAGGAATATAGGTTTAACGGGAATAAAAATTAATTTAAAGATTATCGGTCGATAAATTCATGGAACTTCAATATGATAATTTATTGATCATTATAAGATAATATTTATGTTATATTTAATACTTATTTATACATCTTACATTTATAACTACATTATATTTATGTTTTATTTTGTATTTTATTTCATACATTAATACATATGTTTTGAATTAGGATAACATAATAGCAAAAATAATTTTTTATTTATATATTTTAGGACTTATTGTGTATCAATGAACAAAATTCAAAATCAGAAATTAATGTAGCTAAAAATTACTTAAATAAAGGCAACGCCCATTTGGTTATTGAAGATTATAAAAACTACAATCAGCATAGAAATATTTTCGAATTTATACAAATTGCTACAAGTAGCACTCACTTTGCCAGTTAGCTCTGTAACGTGTGAGCATGGTTTTTCAGCTTTGCGTAGAATTAAGATATAGTTGAGAACTTCTATGCTCCAAGATCGGTGTATTAATCTATCTATTTTTCACATTGAAAAAAAACCTGACTAAAAGTAGGTGTTGAAAGTGATGAATTCTCAAAATCCTTCAGAATGCTGATTTTAAAATAAAATATCTAATACTGTTATTACTTAATTATTGATATGTTAATTGTCTTTTATGCATTGTATAATTTTGTAATATCTATAAAAAAATAGATTTTTTTTTGGATAAAATAAAATTTGAATATATTGTTTATAATTGGTAAATAATTGATCTCTAAAGGGGACGTGAGGGCGAAGCCCCCACTTTTTAGATTTATGTAAATAATTGTAGCTCCCCCCCAACACTTTTAATGGATAGCCGCTTATGATTATAACCTAAACCTCATTCATAATCAAAAATAATCATAATATTTTTTCAAACGTGTATATTTGCCACGTATCAATAAATTATTCATAGAACAAACATAATAATACTTGTAATAATATAGTGGTAGTTTATAAAACTGTAATTGTACCTAAAAGCACGGCCAATCTTTATCGAGTGTCGATAAAATAATAAATAATGATAAATATAAAAATTTTTTATTGAATCACATCATGAAATTGTTTTTTCTAACTATAGTAGATAATTTGTGTCGCTAATGATTGATCAAATTTAATTCTAATTTTGATGTCTCTCACGCGTCTTTTTGATTTTGGCGCCTTGTGCCGCTGCATACGTGGGCCCTGAACACAAGTATATAATATTAATCATTATTATTATAGCGAATCAATTTTATATTTATTTAACATGAATTATAAATGTTTATGTATTGTGTTCATGTATTCAAAGTGAACTAATCCTAATCGAGTATATTAAAAAAAATATTCAACAAACAAAATAGCGTATTATTGTCACATACCTATTAATATGATATTTATAATTTTAATACGTATATAAATATTTAAAAAATAATGTTATTAGGTATACATACAGTTAAAGCAAAAACGTTAAACTTTGTTTATTTAAGACATTAACTAACTCTCATTTATGGTTTTTAGACTTATTTTTAAAAAAAAATTAACTAATTACTATTTATAATAAATAACTCGTTATTATATTATGAGCGGTAAAGGAAGGATATTTGCTTTTACCTACTCTGAATAAGAATTAAAATGGTTGCATATTTATAATTCAATCGACGTTTATCGTCATTACAGTTTGTTGATATTTTTTTTTAAATCGTAAAAAAACCGCCAGAAACGTATGTGTTTACAAGTTAACAGTACTCTTTGGAAAATTCCCCTCCACGGCGTGAACTATAGGCCGGCAGGCAAGGACGCGGTTGCGGTTCAGCCATTTTGAAGTCGTAACACTCGTAACATAATATTACTTTGCTGTTGTATTATTTAGATATCGTTTATGATATTCATAATTAATATTCGCCGGCACTAAAAATTTCACCGATACTTTTCAGGCGTACGTCATCCGTTTGAACTACCAACATTTCAGGTAAATAATTTATCCATTTTATTACTATAAAAACGCGGTTGCACAATTTCGCGCCGCCTGCACGCCGCTTGTACTCGGCTTTTTGTTATCGGCCGTTTGCCGGTTTGAAGACATGGTTGATTTTTGTGTTACCTATTTTGAGGGTCGTAAGATGTAAATTAATGAAGAACAGGAGCTGCTATGAGTGTCCTTTTATGGTTAGAGATTCTATGAAATCAAACACGGTCGGGTCCGGGTCATCCATCATGTAAGCTTAATTTGACGCCCCATCAAATTAAACAGTTGTTTTACTTATTTTTCAATCGTAAATTTTGTAGGTGTAGGAGGTATTTAATACATGTTTTGTATAATTTTACATAATTATAGTAGTAATTACAATAATAAAAACAACAACAGCGTGTGATTGTTAATCTTTTGTAACATACTACTCTTCTATCCGCTATTACTACACTTGAATGCCAAGTATTAGTCTGCTGCTATTGTTGCAAAATTACCCTGTTCTATTGAATTGCAGTATAGAACTAACCATTGGTTTCATGTTTTATTATTTGTATGTTGCCATGGAGTTATATGGGAAAACATTGACCACCTGACAGTCATATTAAGTTTTTTACATGAATATTAAATGTGATTATGTCGACCAATAGGTCAAAACTACTATAGTTGTTAAGCACCTAAGTATAAGGTTTGATTGCCGTCTGGAAACGCCTTAATAATTATTAATTAATAAATGACTACATTTTATATACCTTAAGTAAGCAAAATATGTCATTTATACGTGTATTGTCTTATTATTAATATTAAGGGTTTTTATTAAATATTTAAAAGTTAAACTACATTATAAATTTGTTACTTCAAGAAAATTACATTTTTTACTCCTTAAACTAATAACTATTATACAATTCAACAGATTTTTATTTGTAATATTTTATTATTTATGGAATGATCTACAAATCTAATAATAACCTTAATATAATTTATTTTATATAAACATAATTATAAGCTACATATTAAGATTATATCTTAGGATATTTATTTAATTTAATTCAGTTAATTTATTTTCATTGCTGATTTTTTCAAGTTAATTTATTCTGTACATTTATATTTCAGTTATATTGTATTTAAATATAGGTATTTAAATTTGTATTAATCAAAGATGATTCATTTTTTTTGTTGATAAGAAAGTGATAAATGATAAATATTTTATTGCTACCTTAATAGATTGTACATTTTTATGTAATTCTAAAGTTATAATACGATTTAATTATGATGAGTATTTTTGAAATAATTATATGTAAAACTTTAAATGTTAATTATATATAGTTTTAAATATAATTTCTTAAATTCAGTCTTACGTACATTTTATATTTTAAATTAATTAGATTTCTTAAAAGTATTAAAAATACATTTAAGCTATGGGTTTATTATAAGAATTAAAAATTGAATTTTTATTAAATTTAATGTGTAATTAAATACTCCCCTAGCATGTAGATTTATATTTATCTTGGGTAAATGTAAGGAAAAAATTTGGGTTTTTTGGGTAAATTTGGGTAATTTTGAAAAAATGTAAAATGTAAATTACTCATAATATATAAATATAAGTCTCATGGGAAACTTTTAAATAACTATTACATTTGTAGGTTATATGATTTGTTATGATATTTTGAGGTGGGATTGAATCTATTAGCCTCCCTTGTATTTGGACCTGATATTTATTAATATTCCAAAAACTGGTGTGATTGGTACATTATTCAAGATTTTAATAAGTTATCACATTGGTATCTTCTAGATTCTGAAATATAATTTTATATCTATCTTTTTAGATGTATACTAGTAGTGTTAAAATATATGTACCAAAATACTTATTATTTTGTTAAAAAATTAAGTTAATCAATTTATTTTGGTTTCTACACAAGTTATTAAATTATTTATAAATTGTATATTGAATAATAGTTTGTTCAAAATATGTTATGAAACCAGTAATTTAGCACTATTATAGAATTTTATTTATTATTATTATGTATTTTGATAATTTTCTAATGCATGTTCACTTTTAAATATTTATTCTGTTAGAAACTATCAACCATAAATATATTTTTATTTTAATTTTTCAATTTTAATTTTAGTTACATTAATAAGTTTTTTATTAACCCTTCGTTAGATGCATGGTCTACAATTGTAGACCTGCTATAAATATTGACAATTTTAGTATTTATAAAAAACTTGTAGTGCCTTGTACTTTATAGTAGCTGTTCATCTTTATAACTGAGTAGTCAGTATTATTGTGACCATTGAAGAGCGTTATTTAACTAAACTTATCAACAATATTACAAGTGGTCTGCAACTGTAGGCCACACGACTTACTATGTTATGTTTTTTTTATAAATTTGAAAAATTCAAATTTTTTTTCTTCACTGGGTACAGTTTTATAATATGTTATATTTAATATACCTATTGGGTCGTTACATGTTGTTTCATATAAACTATAGAATTTGTTAATTAAACTTAATATCAATATTATAGAATTTAGTTTACAAGAGGAAATTATTGCCAAGAAAAATAAGCATAAAAACTCATATACATTATCATTTCCTTTAAAGAAATAACATTTATAAAACCTATATTTAATCGACTATAACTAGTTGGAAAATATAAAAAAAAAAATTTAATATTGTTTTTGGGTCTTTTTTAAACATGTCAATTTAAGATATTTATAGTTTCAGGCTGATTGGAAGATATTGAGTAAATAGTTCTAAAAATAATAATGCCATGATAAAAATTATCATAATTTTACTACCAACAAAGTAATTGTATTGTAATTGATTATTTTTGAAATTTCAATGCTCATACGATTTTTTATATGCATATAAATACAATTTTAATATAAACACAAATAATTAAAATTAATTGAATTTGTTATAAATTGAAATGGTCTGCAAGGGTAGATCATGCGCTTAAATAAGTAACAATATACCTGGTGCCAAATGAAGGGTTGATTAGTAATACATTTTAGCTATATAGGTCCATACTATTAAGGTAAAGTTAGTAAAGTTAGGTAAGGTTAAGTAGTATATATTAATTATTCACATTCTAAATATATTCAATTTTAAAAATTAGTAGTTATAGAATTGTTATTTATTTTATTTTTATCTCATGATTTTTTAAAAAAAATGAATCAATTTTTTTATTGATTTTACTAATTTATATTTTGCTAGTTTTGTGGTGGTTTCTACAGTAATATTTTTGAAGATTAATAAAATGGTTGGGTTTGATTTTTTATAGTGTCTGATGTTTTAACTTATGTATTTACATATAAATCAATAATCATATACTATATATCAATATTATAATTGTCTTTAAAAATCCAAAATGAAAATAGTGATGTCCTCATTGATTGGTATTCCAATTAATTCAATTTAAATAAATAAAAGTATTTGTCTAAAATATGATACAATTTTATACTATCCAATCATATATGATTTTTATTTCAAGAAAAATAATTATAAATTATTTTAATTAAACTAAAACAGCTCTTCACTATTTCAAATAATAAAAAATAAAAGAATAATTTTAAAGAACATAACTTATTTTTTTTGTTATGAATGATCAAATTTTTATTTAAAAATGTAATTTAAAGTTGTGGAGCTATTTTTAAGTTTTATTCAAAGTCACTTAATGTATTGATATTATAAGTAACTATATATTTTCAATAATTACTTACTAAAATTTACCTTGTACAAAATAATTGCATTACATATTCTGTGTTAAAATAACTTAGTACTTATTAATTTTTTGATAATTATCTATTATTATTATTATTTTCTGGCTCCTATATGATTACTGATCATGTGAGAATAAATATTGGTTTTATTATACCTAATTATTATTTTGTTAATATTTTATTAACACTGTGGTTATAAAAACTATTCTATATGGTTTTTTTTCCATGGCAACTACCAACAAACAAACAGGTACCACTTCATTCCCATAGTTGACATGCAAACATGCAATCAAACAAAGAGCTTATTTTCATAATGGATGACACTATTTTCCCCTTTTTTTTTATATTTCATGGGCAGCAAATAATAATACCTTATATTTTGCATTTATTGGTATGATGAGTTTATTTTTTAGTAGAGGTAAATTAAAAGAATGGGATACTATATTTTTATTTTAAGTTTTATTTTTCAATTGTAGTTTGTAACCGGAAAGTTAAATCAGCTTAAACGAAACCTATCCAAATCCTTTCCTAATAGTGTATCTTGCAAGGTTTCATGTTTAAAGGTGACTTCATTGTGTAACACATAATATGTAGTAAATTACTGAATAAAATAGAAGTGGGAAATTATAGTCTTTGAAATGTATGTGGATAAAATATATTAAAAATAAACTGAATAGTTCAGTTATAATTTGTATAGTAATATAATAATGTTAATTTTAATTTTTATAAGAATTTTTTTATTTACATTTTTTCAACTTTTTGAAAATTAAGAATTTCCTAATATACATTACATTGTTAGAAAATTGATAGTTGTGTTTAATGTATGAGGGCATTTTTAATAATTAGACTGTTGAAATTTACAATGAAAATTACACTTCTACATTATTACAAAAAATTGCCATAATAATTAATTATATGAAAAAAATAAGTGATAGAAATAAACAATGCTATTAGCAGATTATGAAAGTTCTAAAAACCATTTAATTATGTTCTTTTATAATGATTCCCAAAAAATTATAAAGATGCTCTAGAAAAGAGGAAAATCTATTACAAGTTTTGAAATTTTAGTTCCTTGTTCGTATATAATAAGGTAAAATTCTATGAATTGTTGGTATTTTTCGAGAAAAATTAAATTGTATTATTTAAATAAAAACTATATTTGTGACTTATTTTTACGAAAAATGAATATGAAATAAAAACCAAATTTCTTATATATTTATTGCATTAAGTTTGAGTATGCAAAATGAAGTCTTGAACCCAGATTATAATGTATAAGTTTTGCCTACCATAACAGTGACTATGATTTTACATGCATTTAAAAAAAAATATTACTATACTATATATTTTTTTTTAAACTTGAAATAAATTGAGTATTATATCTATACAAATATGAGAAAAAATAGTTTTATTTTGTGATACTCTTATTAGATAATAGTGTATTTAAATAAATTTTAAATTTAGTAATAAATAATTAAGCTTATGAAGCTATTAAATAAAAAAAATATTTAACTTTTCATTTAGTGATAAAGATAAAAAGAAAAGTACCAAAATAATATGCAGTTTACATTTTGGAGATTATTTTTCAATTAAACTAAATTTTTTTATTTATTTTATAGTTAAAATCATTTTTAGTTTAAATATTTTAATAAATGTTATATTGTTATAATTTAATTAAATGTTCAATGTTTTTGTGATTTTATTGAATAATTTGAAGTAAAATGAATTAATATTGATATAAAAAATAATTATATGGAACTAAATTGCCAGACTTTGAAATATTTATCTTTTATTTTCTGGTACGTAATAATGTCATAAAAAATACTGAAACTATATATTTATAAACTATTTATTTTCTAGGTAAAATAAGATTTTTTTCAAAAATATTTTCACAAACATTCTAGCTTTTAAAGAAAAATATGTACTTATTGTGAGTAGTATGTTGTTTATATAATTATGTATAATATTATATATTTATATTAAGTAAGTTCTTCGGTCCTTCAGTTATTATAGCTCTTATCAAGCCACATGCTATAAATATTTGGCTTATTGATTTAAATTTTTGGTGTTAAATTAGAAAAAAAATTTTAACTTGAATAAAGAAGTCTAATCTTATACTTTGACAGAATTAGAAATATTTTTATCTGCTATAATAGAAAGAATATAAATATTCTAAATATGGATTTTATATTTATTCATTCTATTTACATCAAGTTTATTGTCCCTTGAATATTGTTTTGTGTACTATTTGAATAACTATTATATTTATATTGATAAATTGATATTAATAGATATTCATAGAAGACTAATAAAATAATATTGTTAAATTATCAAACATTAACTAAAATATTATGATACGAAAATTCTACGATTGTTATAATAACATTTATAAATTACATTAATTAGTGAATGATGGTAAAAAATATTAATAATATAATTGAAACTGTCCTAACCTCTAGTATAATCAGAAGCGGATTTTCTAATAGGCAGAGTAGGCAGATGCCTAAGGTAGCAAAATGTAGAGGTGGCAAATTTTGTATTATTTTATTAAAATACATAAATTATATAAATAAAAAAATAGAAAATTACTCATTTTATAATTACGAAAAGTGATTTAATATTTACTTAATTGATTAAAAATGGTTTTGATAATGTTGATTCATAAAAATTATCATTGTACATTTTTCATTAAAATTTGATAGACATCCATTAACATTTTTTCGGAAGTAGGTAATTATATTATAAGCGAAAAAAATGTATCTAAAAATTAAAATTAATTAATTGACTATTATATTTAATGATTGGGGTGGCAAATTTTTAATGCCTATAGCCGTGAAAAAGTTAAATCCGTCTCCTAGTTTAATGATAAATGAAGTTGTGTTATAGTTATTATTCCCATTTTTTTTTTAGTGATATATTCTGTACCATAATTATTTATCCATATACATATTACTGAATCTTTAATTATGCATATGTACTATAAATTATAATGTGTGAAAATAAATGTAGCATTTCTTTTTTCATTATGTAAAAGTGTGATTAAAAAAAAAAGTAGTGAGTGTTTATAGTTTGTAATCCATGTCTGTCAAGTATTAGGCAACATATATTAAAATTATAGTAAACGGTAACATTTATTTATTTTTTCAATAAATTAGTAGTTAACTTAAAATTGACCGTTAGGGGTCAATTTCAGAACTTCCCGTTCCTATGGTTACTGTTGTGTAAACACAATACTAGCGAGAACGTCTACCAGGTGCCCTTGGTTTCTCTTTTATATCAGTCAGAGTAAGGCAGTCAAACGGTCAACTTCTTCCTTAATGAATATTTTTTGAGCTAAAATATAATATGGGTAAGTTTATATTTTATGTTTTTTTTTCAAGTATTCATTCTTTTTACAATTTATTTTTAAAAAAAATGTATGTTTTTTATTTTTGAATGGATTTTAAAATAAGATTTAATTTTATTATAATACTTCTAAATAACTTCTATAAACCATATATTTCAATTTTCACACGTCACCCTGCAAAAAATATGAATCGTGTGTTATCATTCATTTTTGAACTCTTACCATATTTTTACTGACTATTAGTTGATTTGATGAAATTGATTGTACGTGATTTACGGTCAACGATTAACTAATAGCATAGATATGTTTAATTTTGTTGTTAAAGATATAAAACAATATATACGAATGTTGGGCGGAAGGTTGAACCATTTCTACTTTCCATCCAATATTCATATATATTCGATAAATATGTTAAAAATTATTATTATTAAATTATCAGTTTTAATCTCGTCGACGAATAGTTAGCGTTCTAGTGTTAATTGATCCACGTTAGTATATAAAATCGATTTGCCTTATTATTAAAGTATTATATGAGTTAATTCCAATAATAAGTATAGGATTTTTCATGAATGACTTCCTATTTATAGTACTAATTTAATATCTAACTAATAGCAATAATTGATTTTGAAGTCGGTAAAAATAAATACATTTTTATTTCCCTAAATATTATTGTGATCCATTGCAAAACAATTTAATAACTTTAATTTTCTTTTGTTTGGAATGTAAATTATTATTAAAGTATTTATTTAAACACTCAAATATTGAGAAAATAAATTTTATATCATGATTTATTTATAATTTCTTAATTGTTTTTTTTGTGTTTTTGAAAATAATTTCAAAAATATTCGTTGCAACGAACATTGTACTAAATTAGTATTTAAATTAAAAATGTATTTTATTTTTAGTTTGAAGTATAAAATTATTATTTATTTATATAATAAATAAGGTAAATTTAATAATGTTGATGGACTTTCCTCATTTTTAAATCAATAAATTGTCTAGTATGGAGTATACACTTGGGGGGCAATATTATGACATTGGTTTTTACTGGATCAATAGGAACGGAGGAAGTGTCCCCTTGCAGGGTAAAAGGGGTTGGTTGTTGGCGCCAGTCTGCTGTCTGCCGTATCATGTATGCTAGTGAACTCGAGGTGAATGAAACTACCCTCGATCAAATCATTCCCCACCAATTCCCTACTTTTATTATGTATGCGCAAACCTTGCTAAAATGATAATATAAAGTGTGATCTTCAATTGAGTACTCTTTACAGTTGCTGTGTTTTAATATTTATTATGCTTTTTTTTTTTTAAAGAAATATTTGTGAAAAATAAAATTATAGTATAAAATGATAAATTTGTTTATGTTTTTACTTAAATTGAGTAACTATTAATCATTTTGTCAATATTTAAGAGAGAAAAAAATTATTGGTTGTTTATGGATCTATTTATTGATAGCTCCTAATAATATTTTATTTAAAATTTTATAAAATTATATTATAAAACTAAATTAAATAATTGAATGAAGATTAGTTGATTGTGAAGTGTGTTTATTATATTGTTTAATATAATTTAGTAACATTAATTATAAAGTTATACGCAGTGGCGTCGAGCTTCTAAAATTTTACTCAAGCCAAATAAAAATACAACGGCCTTAAGTATCCCAGCGGCCACAAGTCTACATTTTTACTTTGCATAGAAAAATAATTTGTGCGCTCACATTACAAGTATTAAGCATAATTCATACTAGTTAGACGTGTATCGACAAACACCGTTCCGAAAATATTTTATTATGTATTTTAATTTAAGTAATTCACATTTGAACGTTTTCGTTCCCTTCATACAAGTACTGATCCGATAGAGTCCGTCCGGCATTCCTCGCGAAAATAATCGTGAGGTCAGAATATTGCAATGTGCAAACCATAGATCCCTCTGATCCCCGGCCTCATTTTAAAAATGTGGTTAGGCCGCGGCCTGATCCAGGCATAAGGTTCAGCACCACCGATTACACATATACTGGAGTATTTATGCAAGATTTTTCTCTTGCTATTTATTTTTAATTATGAGTTTAAAGCACGTAGTAATTTATTTATTTGCAATTTATAATTTACTTAGTTGAAAATTGTTAATTCTGTATTAGTAATAAGTTTTGATTTATATTTTAACCAATAAAATAATTACATTATTCTTTTACTGAGATTGCATTCTCTGAGATGTAATGTTTATTAATAGGATTGCGCTTATCTTAAAATATTTATTTATCTCTTTATTGAAAAATGTGTAATGACAAAATCATATAAGAATTCTGTATCCAAAATGTTTACATCTGATTTGATATAAATATACCAGTATACTTATACCAAATAAGATTTTCATTTGTCATTTTTGTAAAGTTAAAGATAACCTTCAAACAGGCTTTATTATAACTTTTAATTATTCAAGAACTTCTTTATAATTAATATTTATAAATTGTGCCTATTTAATGTATCTTATTATAAAGTAACTGATAGTAAACCTTGTAATTGAAACATTTCTAAATCAAAAGGTTTTTTTTAGTTAATAATTTTTTAGAATTTTAGAGAGTAACTTTAATAACTAAGTTCAGTTATTTTTCCTATATTAGTATACTATATTAATTGATCGAGTCTTTGATTTCATAAGGCAGAAGTAAAATAATATTCATAACTTATAATTTTGCTCTTGTATGAAATATATATATATTTTTTTATTTAAAAAAAAAATTATTAATGTTAAATTTCTGTATAATTTTAGACATGAAGAGATTCAATGATGGTCATTCAAATGCTCCATTCAAACGACCTAAGATGGGTCCTGATGACATAGAATTGAGAGTTCTTATTCCAAGCAAGGTTGTTTATACATTTTTTAAATATTATTTTTTATATTCTAAATTTTATTTTTATAAACTAAATTTTTTTTTATAGGTTGCTGGTTCAATTATTGGTAAGGGTGGCTTCAACATATCCAGGCTACGGACAGACGTGAGTTTTTTGTTTACAATTTGTAACATACAATTATGGTTAAAATATTTGCTTTAAAAATTTAAATCAAATAAAAATAGGCCTACTATTGTTTTATACATTTAATCCCTTAATAATTTATTCTTGTGTGGTTGAGGTTTAGTGAACCATGAAGGAATGTTGTTAGATTATTTTTCCCAATTGTATTTTATAAATTTTAATGACTAGAAATATTTATTAAGGTAAGTAGGCCTATTTGACATTTTTCATCTCGGAACATGTAAAGTAAAAAAATAAAAGGATACTGGAATTATTTCGTTCAAATAATAATCATGTACAGTTGCTATGTAACCTAACCAAAACAGGACTGATCTTGGAAATTTGTTATGTGTTCTATGCCCATATGCCCATGCCCCTCGATGTGATTTATTTCACATGTCCCGTGGTACCCTGGGCCCCTCTGCATATACCACGAATATGCCCTGAACCACAATCATCGACGAATACAACCTGCGAACAATAATGGATACTACCTGATGCTGTCCATCTAACAGTACAATGCCACAGTCACTGTCCCAGATTGCCCGGGCCCTGAACGGTAAATCATCCATCATCAATCTCTCATATATACTTAAAATTTTCTTTTATGCATAACTATTTTTTTCTTTAGTAGATTCAGATGTGTATTTATAACCATATTCTTGATATATTGTTTAATGAACTGAAAGCCTCTAAAATTGAGAAATTTTAAAAAATAAAAATAGGTGAATTTCTCATTTGGTTTTTGGGGGCTTGCAGTTTTTTTTCTCTTAAATTTACACTTTATAGTTAATTTATAGAGTTTCAAAGCTTAAAAAATTACCTCCAATTAGGATATTTCAAACTGAAACAACTTTTAAAATTAAATCCATTAAATCCAAAAAAAAAAAAATATATATAAATTAAATATTACTGAACTATAAGCTATATCATTTTCCGTTTGACCTGAAAATCAATTTATTTTAATTGGTATAATTCTTTTTTTGTTTGTGAGTTTTTTTTTGGGGAAATATGCTTAGAGTTGACCAATTTTTTCCCACCTAAATATTTTAATATAGTGACCTTTAATTTTTATTGATAATTGTATTATATAAAGCATAACTGAAGAAATTTAAACTCTAAATTACTTTATTATTATAAATTGGTCCATTCTTTGTAATATGCTTTCTTTTTTTGTTGGCCTTATATGTATCAATTTGAGTTCAAATAATAATTTTTGTGTTTTTTTTTTTTTGTTCTATAGAATTTTAACTATCATATCAAGTAATGATAATGCTTTGAAAGTTTTGGGTGAAGTAATGGGTAATTTAGAAGATGGTGGTTCAGTAAGTTTTTAACTACATACTTATTATTGTAATATATATTTCTATTTATGTATTTATTTGTTTGATTAGAGATTTAAACGTGGTGGTGGAGCTGGCGGCGGTGGTCAAGGAAATAATGATAATCAAGGAGAGACTGATGTTGATGTCAGAATGTTGGTTCACCAAAGTCAAGCTGGGTGTATTATAGGAAAAGGAGGATTAAAAGTGAAGGAGTTAAGAGAAGTTAGTTAAAATTATTTAAATAGTAATTTAATATATATAGTAAAATATCTTGGTTCAAATTTGAACTTGATTTGGATTATTATTTAAGTACAAAATTATATTAATAACCTTGAATTATTAATTTTCAGTATTTCGATACCTTAGAGCACACATGTTCCATATCCATTTTCCTAATTTTTGGCAAATCACTAAAGAAGTTTAGTTGTTTGCATAACTATAAAACTAGAACAAATGTTCCTTTTTTTTTATAATAATTATCTAAAATTAATTATGAAGTATTTGAATTAAAAAAAGGCGGTTTTAGATACTTATGCTATCAAAATCAATTAAATAACATTAAAAGTCGGACATTTGGACATAGCACATATGTGCTCTTAGGTATCGATTTATTAGTTATTATATTTTTTATTTTTAAAAAATTGTATTATGTGCATATTTTTTTTTGTATCTGCAATACCAATATTTACCATACAATATTTTATACATATTAAAAATGTTGAATGATCATTCATTTTAAAAACTTTCCTTGATTATATATTATTTAATCATTTTATTTTTAATTAAATTTAGAAAACTGGATCGCGAATTAAAATTTACACAAGTTGTTGTCCTATGAGTTCTGATAGAGTTGTTCAAATAACAGGAAAGTCTAATACTTGCTCAGATTGTGTTAGAGAAGTTCTTGATTTGTTAAAAACTGTAAGTTTTTCTTATAATATATGTTTATATTTATTAAACACGTAATTTTATTATTAATTTAATTTTTAGGCACCTGTGAAAGGAGCAGAAGATCCATATGATCCCAATAACTATGATGAATATTATTCAGATGAATATGGTGGTTATGGTAATCCAGCCGGTGGTGGTGGCATGAGAGGTGGCAATATGAATCGTGGACCTCCTGGACCAGGAAGATTCCAAGGAGGTGGCGGTGGTCCTATGAATAATCGTGGAATGTAAGTTATATAAATTATATGATATAAAGAAATATTATTTTATTCTTTATTTACCTTAAGAACAAAATGGTTGACCAGTTGTTGGATCATATCCGATCTGCCTCTTTCCAACCTATACCAGTTTTTTTTTACTTACCACATTTAAAAATCGGCTGCATAAACCATTCTTACTGTGAATAGAGTTTGTTACAACATTAGAGAAAACTATTTTGTCAGATAGGTATAACTAGGACAGAGGACACCTAGTTCTAAAAAAATATATGCAAGCTCTTATGCATTTAAAAACCTATAATTCTATAATTTAATATATAGATACATTAAAAATATGTTCTTATATTTTTTTTAATCGATTTATTAATAAAATATGTATATATCTATATATTATTTAAATATTGCGTATCATTAAATCGTTTTTCACATCCTGCTTAAACATCATAATACTTAAGTATTAGTACAAGACTAAATGACTGTAATATATATTACATTATTAATGAACACTGACAAAAGTCAGTGCAATGAAATTTTTTGGTATCGTTAATGTACTATTAGAAAATCTATGATTTGAGCGCCGTGTTAACTGTTATAAATAAAATTAATCTAATCGCCAACCCTAGAGACATATTAGAACAACCATATTATATGATCAAAATTTAAAATTATTTTTAATTTCATAATATTTTAGTGTTGTACATTAGATGAAATAACAACATTGGGAGAAAAGTATTGAAGAAATGATAAATTATTTGAAACTTACTTCTAAAATTATAAAATGGAAAAAATATGCCTTTAAAACAAAAAAAACTCGAAATATGCTTTTATATGCAAAATAAAATTTCAAGAATAGCTTTGTGAAAGCATGATACATATTTGTTTCATATTCTGCTATTTTTGTGATTGTGCAAACAAATATGCAAATGCTACAAGTCTGCTCTAGTCATAACGTATAGTGAAATACTTAAGGGTAGGAAGTTTTGAGTTTATCCCCCTCTAGTGCAAAAAAAAAAAATATAATGAAGTGATTATTTTATATTTATTGTTTAATTATAATGCTAGGAATTTAAAGTGAAAATTGTTATTTTCATTTTCATTTCAATATGAAAATCATATTTGAATGAATGCTGATTTAAAATCCAAAAAATATTTTATTGTAAATTGTTTAGGAAGATATATAAAGTAATGAATCTATAAGTGTTTTATTATAGGGTTAAAAGGAAGTTATACAATTATTGTTTTTTTTAGTATGTTATTTTTTTAAGCTCTACTGAACAAATTTGAATGTATGCTTTATTAATAGATCTATTAATGTAATCTATTTATCCTGTATATAAGTTGATTAATACAAGGTGAATATATATATTGATCAAACTATAAATATAATGTAATCGTTTAATTTTTCTGTCGTAAAAGACAATTTAAAATTTAAATGTATATAAGGGTTTATTTATTTATTTTTTTAATGACATTTATCCTATTAAAATTAAACTATGTAGAAATTTATGTACGAGTAATATATGGGGATTTTCATCTTTTTATTTCATACGAGTATATTAAAAAAGTGATGTATTTTAATTGGCGAAATATTTGGTATTTTCAAGGAACTTTGAAACATTTATTATGTAGTGTGTATCTTTTTTGCCTACTTTTAGTTCACTTTTACCTAATCTGATTTCCTTTCAATCTTGAGATTGGTTTAGAACAAACATATCTAAAACAAATGTTCTCTATGTTGCTGTTGTTTGCCATATTTTTAAGCTCCCCATAGTAAGTGATTCCCTGTGTCTTTTGTTATATGGATAATGTATTTTGCTCTGGGTAATGCTCTTGATTTTGTAAGTCATTAACTTGCTTCAACATGTGTTCTAGCATTTCTTTTTCTTAGAATATCTATCAGTACAAATTTTTCTATTATTATTTATCATGTGTTCTTCTTTCAATCCACTTAATTCTTCATACCTTTTTTCAACGCCATATTTCTAGAGCCTATTCCTAACATACCCTTTTCTTTTTAATTTATTTCCATGTTTCACATACAAATGATTATACACATACATACTCTAGATGTCCCCAATTCTAAAGTGCATTCAATTTATTGCCCTGGTTACTTTTAAACATCATTAAAAGTTTCAATTATTATTGTTTTGATTCATTAAGACTTATCCTTTGCTGTTTGTTTCATCTTTGAATTTCTATTTCTGATAATTACTGATCCAAAATTTGACTTTATATAATTTAATTTTAATAAACACAATATGTATTAAAATTAAATTTTTTTATTGAAAATTTGTATTCCAAAACACATTTATATGAGTTTTAAGTTAATTAACAATATCTAAATTATTTTTTCTATCAAATGTTAGGTTCAAAGATATTATGATGTCTTATTATTTTTAAAGTAGATTTATCCATTTTGTTCTTAGATTTTGAAATATTTAAATAACAAAAGATTAGTTTTTAAAATTATTTTAACTATCATTCTTATGTATAATTTAAAGGTATTATTCCAGGGGTGGCGGTGGACGTGGCGGTGGAGGAGGTTTTGGCGGTGGCGGTGGATTCAGTAACAATGGTGGAGGAAACTATGGAGGCAATGCTGGAGGATATGGAGGTGGACCTGGTGGTTATGGAAACAATGTTGCATCCGGAAACTTTGGCGGCGGAGGTGGTGGTTATGGTGGTAAGTAATTTTTTATCATTATTTTACTGAAGACATTTATTATATTCCATTTTAAATGTTCTCATTATTTTAATTTATTATTATTGTTCATTTGTATGGCTAAATGTAATAAATATATACACACTAGTAACATTTTTTAGCACAACTCTTGGTAATTAATAGTTAAGGTTATTTCAAGTATTTTAAGCTTATATTTATGTATAAAGTTATTTTAAATGTCATCGTTGTTAATTTTCTATTCATCAAATAAGTATCATTATTTAAGAATAAATAAATATTAATTTTACTATTTATTTGCTATTAGAATTAAATATATAAATATAAAATTATAGTTTCATTTTCTAATCTTTTAAAAAATAAAATAATTTACATTTTTTTTTTAAGTTTTTTTTATAGAATGTATAATATATATTTTTTATTATAAAAGGTGGCTTTGATGATGGTTCTATGAGTGATTTTAGTATGCCTCCTCCAGCTATTATGGGTGCTGGAGCTGGAAAACCTGCTGCTTTTAATGGTTCTACGCAAGTCACTATTCCGAAAGATGTAAGTGACAGTTTTAGCGTTAGCGGAGTTAAGCACAAGGCTTGCGTACCGAAAAGCATAAAAATTATCTAAATTAAAAAAATCATTAAAGGGATATTGATGAAATAAACTAAATCCTTATTTTTTTTAAAAAATAATTTGAGTTATTAGGAAAAAAAAATATTTATGTAAAAAGAGCCGTATATTAAATGCATTTATCTAAAGTAATGTTTTGGATCTCACTAAGATAAAATTATGCTGAAATATAAGATTAAAATATTTCTTAATTTAATTTTCTGGTTGTTGTTTACAATTAACACACAATTTAATTGTATTTTATTATGTTTTTAATGTTTCGGTACGTTTGTCTTGAGTAGTTCCACTTTAACAATCAAAACTGTTGCTTCCATTGTTTTTCGGTATGCCAACCCTTGTGTGCTCTTATGCGTATTTCTTTTTGGCTATTATAATTCTCACTTATACAATACTCTTAATTTCCTTCATCTTTGAATACTTATATTAATAAATTATGCTTCTTGTCTGCTTTTCTTCTTAAGTTTTTTTATTTTTAATAACCTTTTTATTAATTTGTATTTTTATTAATAACTTTAATTTGAAATGCTAACCTAAAAATACAATTAAATATTATTTCAATACTTGAAATACCTGATCATTAGTATAATAATAACTTAGGTATTACATTTTCCATGTACCAAGTATCGAACAAGTATATAACAATCTGATGTGTACCTTTAGTTCAGTTACCTTCAAAATATACTGTATTACTGTAGGTAATAATCATAAGTATATTATTTTTTATACTAATAGTTTTAAATAATATAAATTAATATTTTATAAAGTTTTAGAAATTAATTCAGTTTTAGATTATTTAATTTAAATTTGATTTTATGTCTTACAAATATAATGTAATATAATGATAATATATGATCAATTTATAAAGCATAAATAAAAAAAATCAAATGTTATTAGTGTTACTATAAATATTTATTTTAACATTTTAATTAAAATGTAAATATGTTTTACTTATACTTATTTGATCCCATTATTTATTGAGAAATGTATAGTTGTAGATATTTATTATTTTACTTTAATTAAATTTGTAGTAATCAATCATTCAGCTAAAATATTATGTTTTCATTTTTGAAGCTCGCGGGCGCGATAATCGGCAAAGCCGGCGCTAGAATCCGTCGTATACGCCAAGATTCGGGAGCCGGAATCACAATTGGCGAACCAACTGAAGGCTCAGATGAACGAATAATTACTATTAATGGCACGGACAGTCAAATTCAAATGGCACAATATTTATTACAACAATGGTTAGTAACTGTTAATTTTATTTACTTTTTAATTTGTATTATTAAAGGTGAAAGAATTTTCATATAATACTAACATGTATAAAGAAGTGCCATGCAGCTAACTATGGGCTCTCTCGGCTACAAGAAAAACTCATTAACTACTATCGTATGGAAGACTAGTGATTTTGTTGTTTTAAAAAGAAGTATTTTCCTAACAAGAAGTCTCTAGTCTTCTTACGATAGTATCGACTAACAGCATGTGACAGCCATAACTGCTTTTATATTTAATTAACTATTACATAGTTTATATGCTTTGTATATTTATTAAAATAAGTTTGTTAAAAAAATATTAACTACTGTATTTTTTATTCAAAAAATACATACATTGTTTTCAGTTAAAATGGAAATCATATTTGATTTAAAATCTAATAGCTTATGGAAACTAATTATATTATAATATTTTACTATATTTTTAATCTATATAGTCATTTTTTTTCTTTTTCAACTACTTAATGTTTCATGCCTTGCTTAATGATTTTTGTTTTATTCAACATTGGGGAAGTAATATTAATTTAGTAAATTAATAGTTTAAAAATATGATTTTATTGATTATGTTATTTAAATAGTAATTTGTGAACTCATGATTTTAATTATATACGGAGTAGTTGATAAATATTATATTGTTTAAATCATAAAGACCATCATTAATATTGTGATTTTTATTAAAATAATTCATTATATTATGTATTTTACATTTTTGTTAACTTATGTTTCTATTATATTATTTAGTGGAACATCTTCAAATTCTTCAGTTTAAATAATTTAAATGTAAATTTATCTGAAGTTTGCATAAATAATTGCAGTTGTCTTAAGTTATTTCAAAAGTTATGTTATTTCCCCAAGAATATTTCAAACGCATTTATTGAAGTTATCTGTAATAAAATAAGTCTTAAATGCTGTTATAAGATTAATATATATTAATTCATAGTTTAATTTTGTATAGTTTTTATTTATATTGCACGTAATGTGTAAATTAAAGAAAAACTTCTATTATTTTATGTACATTAATTATTTTATGGCTTAAATTAAATAATTAAGTGCGATTTTTTTAGCATTGAATTTTTTTTTTTGTTTTTTTTTTTTTTGTTTTAGCGTTCAAGCCCAAAAACCTGGAGGTCCTGGTGGCGACGGCTTCATGTAAAAATTTAATTAAAAAACGCAACTTGTTTTTTGCTATTCAATTATGTTTTCAATCATATATTATACTCATTTCATACTATATAAAGTAGTTAGTTAGTATCCATTAAAATAATCCCTGTATTAAATTTCCTTCGGTTTTTTTATGCCTGGAAGTGGAATAAAAATGTTCATAGAAAGTGATCAGTGTTTTATACAGCTGTATGTGCAGTTTTTATGCTTCTGTACTTTTTTTTTATGTAAATATATGACATTTTATATTTATACAAATTTCCATCTTTCACTTTTAGATACTAAGTTTTATAAATTTAAACTCATAAAATGTAGTAAATTATTTAAAAATACAATTAGAAGTAAGTTGATTTTTAATGATTGAATACCCATATTATATACATATATATTTTATATATGTATATGATAATTGATCTACATTTGACTCTAAAAATTTAATTAATTATATTATTCATTTAAATTATTAATTAGACATTAATTATTAGTATTAGATCATATTGACGTAAATCATTTTATAGACCTGACATTTATTATGTGTATATTGTGGATGATTTTATTTTATATTGGTGTGTAATATGCTGCAGAAATAATACAGTGTTCTATGGTTTTAATCACATGTTCATTTTTTTTTTATGATTTACATATCAGATGTAAACATATATTAGAATTATTGTTTTGACATGAAGTCATTAAGTATTTTAGTATATTTTTTCTTATTGTATGAAGCCAAGTAAAAAAATAATAATTAAAAGTTAAAAATTTTATGGTATTTATTCAAAATAATTCCCGTAATAAAATGACTTTAATCTCTATAACAGTTTGTTTTTATTTCATTTTTAATTGAGAGAATATATTTTCTTTTAGTTTTTATTCAACAGTATAGACCCTTAAAATGATGTGTATTCTAAATATAGTACACCCGGTCATATAATGGCTGTTACTACGCTGTTTAAATTGTTATTGTGAATAATGTTGAAACACATTTATCGCATTGATAAGTAAGTTATGGTTTATAATTCTCAACTTCCAAACATTGATTGTTTATTATTATAAAATCTTTAAAAATGCTAGATTGACTACATTAATAAAAACTGGGTCACAAATAGGAGTTACAAATTATATAAAATATTTTAAAAAATAGGTTATTTATGAATTGTAAATAAATTTAAATAATGAAAATTAAATGTTAAGCTAATACTAGTTTTCGTACATGGTGTCACTGCTATTATTAATTATTATTTTAATCTTATGATATACTTATAAGGCCCGGATTTAAATGCACTTAAAACCATACAAATATGCTTTAAAAAATAGCCAAAAATGTCCTTAGAAATTATATTTTTTTTTATTTTGAGCATTATTTAATACGTTAAAATCACATTTACACGTAATACGAGCAACGTCTGCAAGGTAAGACGAACTATGGCTTATTATTTGTTATTTAACCAAATACTGGTGACGTTCCATAATCAATAATAAATTAAGATAAGATAAAAACTGAATCGAAAAATAAAGATTGACAATGTGTTTAGATAAATCTGATAAACCTACTTAAATATCAAGAAAATAATTTTTCTTTTGATTTTATTTTGAATAGGCTAAATTTGTTTAGTATATCGAACAAATATGCATTAAAAACCAACAAAATGACCCAATAATACTAAAAATGAAAAAACGTCGAAATATGCAAAATAAAATTTGTAGTTTTGAAACCTTCGTTACATGAAACGAATTATGTTCTTAGAGAACATTGTGTATGATCAACGAAAAAAATATGCACTTTGCATTGAAATCTGGGCCCAACTTATGAGTTAAAATTGCCGAATAGTTAAACGGACATAATTGAAGGGTCAACAGGTAACAACATACGTACAGCATAACGGGAAAACGCGAGTTGGGTCCTTAGCTATTTGATCGCTTAAAATAAACACGAGTTGGGTCTGCGATGTTATTCGATAATACTGGAATTGGGTCCGCGGTAATTTCCGGCTATAAGAGTAGTCTTAATAATGATCGGTAATATCTTACAATCTTATAATCATATTGTAACTTTTCAGTATATCGGCACGTGTCAAGGCTAAAAGTCCATCTAATAAAATATATAAAGTATCAGTGGCGTAGCTAGGATTTTCTGAAAGGGGGTGTTAATTATAATTATTAAATATTATATATAATACGTACAAACTAAAACTTTCATTTTAAATCATTAATATGTATACATAATTTCTGTTATAGAGATGTAATGTATATTCGAATTCGGATAGCTTTACCATAAATTATTCGAATATTAGTATTCGATGCTACAATACCTATTATTATTAAACGTTTTGTGTTGCACGAAAACGTAAACGAATAATTTTCGTCACGTATTGTCGCAATCACGATAATGTTAACCTGTATATATATGTAATTAGTATTGTGCATTATTTTATATTTCATATTGTATTATCGATTTACCTATATTCTTATAATAATGTAATATATGATACGGCTCAAGGGGGGTGTCATATCTACCAAACACCCCCCTTGTATACGCCACTGTAAAGTATAGTGTGTTTTGTGGTGTTAATATTACATATAAAAATTAAATTATGGATTTCGTGTCAAGCGAAAAAGGTAAATAAATTATCATTAAAGACGGATTTAAATTTCGCTTCCACAAAATGTTGCGGAATGATGTACAAGTTGGAAGTGTTATCTTAATACATGTATTTTTTAAAATTATCTTACACTTTAGACTTAATAGATAAATGTAATGTGCATAAGCACCAAAAATGTGATGAGAAGGTTCTGAATAGACAAAAGTTAAGTAACTCGGTTAAAAGAAAATCACAAGATGATATTTTTACACGATCTTTAAGGCTCATTAGATTCGAATTGAAAAACAGCGATATTCCTTCGATAAACACTAATGATTTGAAATTAATAAAAAACTTCATCCATCATGCTCGTAAAGTACTATATCCTAAATTACCTAAAAGCATATTAGAAACCCATAATTGTTTAACCACAATGAACATAACTACAAACAGAGGTGAACAATTTTTATTCTGTAATAATTTGGTAGATAATATCATAGGTTTTTCAGTGCCACAACTACAAAATTGGAGGCCCGTGTGCGGTAATTATATTAGGCCCCTTCCTAGGATTAATTTTTGTTGTACGTCTTATTTATAAGTATCAATTTTTTTAGGTTTTAAAACTCGTTTCACATCAGTTAGTGTATGATATATGTATATATATATATCAAATTAAATACCTACAACTGTTGTATATTATACTTCACTACATATTTATGTAGTAAATTTATTTAAGTAGTTTAGGTAGGTATGTTTTATGTCTACTCAAATACTCAATGGACTCATTGTTAAATAAATATTAAATTACTCTAAAATATTATAACATCCTTACTTGAATTTTAAAAAAAGTTAATTAATTGTTAGTTGAATTAAAACTATAATTTATTAAATAATTGTGTGTTTGTAAAAGTGTAGTTTATTTTAGGCTGGGACTAGGGGCCCCCCAAATGTATGTAAGTCTTGGGGCCCATGTGCGCGGCACACTCTGCACACCCGGTTTTTGCGGCACTGTTTGTGTGGTGTTACTAAAGTAGGGTTGCCATTTATACAAAAATACAAGCCGGGACACTTTAATACCCCCCCCCCCACAACACATTCTTTGGAATTTTTAATAATACTTTTTTTAGACCAACGTTATTTAATATTTTTATTATATTATAATTTATAATAATTAAAAAAGTCAAAAATTAGAAACAGCACAAAATGTAATAATAGTATTTTATTATCTTATTCATAAATATAATTTTAAATTATCTTAAAAAAAATAATTAAGTACACAATTTTTAATTTAAAACAGAGTGGTCTTACTTATTTACTAATATGTGTATTGTTTAAATATGCATCATTATTCATCATCGATTTCATCTAACTTCATTTTTCGAATTTTTTCATGTTTGAGATCCAGAAGCTTCCGTTTCTGATTTTTGATTTGTTGTTGAATATTTTGCAGTTTTATGAACTCGAATGAGCAAATCTTTATTTTTCAAAATGTCTTCATAAAGTTGTTGGCATGGTTTATTTTCCAAATTAGTCTTAATGACTAAAGTAGCTTCTACTGTATTGATGCATAAATTATCTCGTGACTTTGTCCAACAACTATTCATCAATGAAAATATTCTCTCCACTGCAGCGTTTGATCCAGACAATGCAAATGCAAATTCTACAATTTTTAATAACATAGAATAATCAATATTATTCTCTTTAAATGATTTAAAAATTGACAGCTATTTTTCTTCAGATGTTTTGCATTGCCATTCATCGGTTTTATTTCTTAAAAATTGTTCAAACATTTTAAATTGTTCATACAGTTCATCCTCGTTTAAAGTAATATTAAAATTTAATTTTAGAAAAGAAATAGATGGCTTTATGTTGGACCAATTTATTTCATCTTTGTTTGACAAACAAACCCATGTTAATGAATTTAATTCTGGTATATGTTGGTTTGAAGCAGTCCAATCTATTATATAATTTATGCATAAGTCATAAAATTTAGTACACGTTTCTTTAAACTCTGATTTAATTATTTCACCACTTTCTTCTAGATGAACAAGTAATGCTTCGATATCACTTGGTAAAAAAAAAAATCATCTTTTTTATTTTTTAATTTTGTAGTTAATTTTTCCATAATTACTATAAGTTCCACCGCGCAAAGCTTTTGATTTTCAATTATTTTAATGTATATATTTATAGTTTTCAATTGACTTTGTAAGAAGTTAAGCCACAAAATAGAAGTTTCATTTTTAAAAAATGTTTTCAAAAAGTTTGAACAGTTATTTTAAGATAAAAAATACGATTTGAGTGAACTAAACATTTCTATTATTCTTTCAATTGCTGGATATAACGATAACCATCTTGTTTTGGAGTGTGATAATATTTCTTTATACTGAACATCAACAAACGAACAGAATTCTTTTAATGTTTCAACACGTACGGTATAAATATGGAAATATCCAAATATTTTACAAACTATTTTTTCAAATATCAATAGGAAGACTATCCGCAGCATACTGAATACTGTTATGTATTACGTGTGCGCAGCAACCTAATCCCAAAATATTACGCTTTAATGTATTTTTTAATTTTAAAAATACATTATTTTTGCCTTTTCTAGCAATACCGCCAAAGTTTGTGTTAGCATTATCTCTAGAGAAGCTTATTATTTTTTCTTCGAGTTCAAATTTTTTCAAAACACTTACAATTTTATTGTGAATTAACTCGGGAGTTTCTACGGGTAAGCTCGAAAAGTCCAAAATATCATTTTTAATCCCATTCTCTGGATTAAAGTATCTAACAATTACAGGAACTAATTTTACGGACTTATGATTTGAGGCATCAACAAGCACAGAAATATAATTAGTTTTTTTTAAACCTTCAATAGTATTCTCCATTGCGAAAGGAGCTAAAATATTTACTATTAGGTCACGGGTTTTTGTTTTAGCACAAGTAAATTTTTTTTCATTAAATAAAAGACGAATAAGATCTGCTGTACAAGTCATTGAGTTAAAGCTATGATTATGCATAACAGTATGAAAAGCTAAGGTTATTTCTTTGGCCGCTAATTTCAATGATTTGTCATTAGCTTTTAATGGTGTAAAAAAATTATTTACTTTGCCAGATGTCAATGCAGCCTTTTGTGCTATTTCATGTTTATTGGATTTCATATGATATATCAGTTTTCCCTCCATGGCTAACTGAAAATGTACTCAAACATACAGTACATTGCACATCAAAATTATTGTCGGTTTTTACCTTTTTAATGAATGGAAATTCATTTTGGAGTTTGTCAGTGAAGCTACATAATCGTTTTGGAGCCATGATGTTTAAAATAATAATACGTAGAATTGCATAAAAATAAAAATTAGTAACTACAACACAGAACACAGCAAAGTAATTTAATACTAAATACGTATGACTCAAGAGTGAAGACTAATATATGACTATAATATACGACTAATCGTTATTTCTATAAATTGTATAGGCTAAGTCGCTATGAAACTTTATCGGTAAAATTATCGGTCCTCGGCTATCTCGGAAATTTCCGACAATTATTTATTGTTTGTTATTCACACGTGAACAATTCGAGACTTATTTTAAGAAACCGGTACTTATCCACGTCCCGGCCGGGAAATGAAAAATATCGGGACTCTGTAGTAAAAACCGGTAGTGTCCCCGCGAAATCGGGACGAATGGCAACCTTATACTAAAGTATACATGGACGAGACGTTTAAAAGTTGTACGAAATACTTTTTACTTTTTACTATTCACGGATTTCGAAATGGATTGTATGTACCATTGGTTTTCTTGGTATTACCCAACAAAACATTAGAAATATACACTAAAGCTTTTAAGTATATTGTGAGTTATTGCACGTCTCTTCATCTGAATTTTCAACCTACCGAAATTTGTCGATTTTGAGGTGTCAATTCATACGTCTGTCAAATGTATTTGGCCATATGCTATTATTAAGGGTTGTAGATTCCACTTAGCGCAAAGTTCGTGGCGAAAAATTCAACAGCTTGAGTTATCAAAATCGTATAAACGTTCCAATAATGATATATATGATATTGTGATATGATATATCGATAACCAGAGGAGGTGTTTGATTGTTTTATTGATAACTTAATGACTATCAAATGAATTAATATAAACGTCGATAAATTTTGTGATTATCTTCCAAAAACATATATTGAGCAAGATGCATTATTTCCTCCTAATATATGGGCCGAGTTTGCAGGAACCACAAATCGCACCATAAATGTTGTGAAAGTTTTCATGCAAAATTAAATGCTAGTTTCAGTGCAGCTCATCCTAACATTTTTGTTTTAATAGAAATTTTACTTGGAATCCAGAGTGAAATTTACTCTGGTAAATACCAAGTTGAACCTTCTCAACCCTGAGAGCCCTCCCTTGAATAAGGAGGAAAGTAACAACCCTTTAATACATTAATACCTCACCGCCATTCACATATATACCATCTCCCCATCTTACATCCCACTCATCCTTACTTCTTCTATTTTATTTTTTGTATTTTTGGGTTATTACAATTTCTATACATTTTTAAATAGTTATTATCTACGAGTAGCTGTTTTTTTTAAAGGGAGACACAGTTTCAAAGTCTCCCCTGACAAGCCGCCCCTGGTAAAGTGTGGTTTGAGACGTAAAAGGGTGCATCCGTTATCAGGCAAAGAGAGGTTAATTGAAATGCTTGGATTATCTGAATATTTTATGGTTTAGCTGTTCCCCAAACCTGGATACCGTAAGACCAAGTCGGAACTTTTAGTGTTTTGTATAGGTTTAATTTATTTTTCAAATTAATTTTTGATTTTTTGTTTAATAAAAAATAGAAGTTTCTGCGTCTTTGGTTGAGTAATAGTATTCATTTTTAATTTGGTAGCCTAGATAAGTCTTTTGTCTAGATGCATACCTAAGTATCGTGCGTTTGAAGTAATTGGAATGATCGCGTTGTTTAATGTTACAAAGAAGTGCCTTTACGAAGAGTGAACGTTACGTGTAATGATTTATAAGTAATGATTTTGGCTCTTCAATTCGTATACCAGGTAGATAGGTTGAGGTGATTTTGAAGGTGATTTGAGGCTAGGTTAGGGTCATTATGGGTGGTGCAAATAGTTTTGTCATCTGCATATTCTGCTACAGAAGTGTTTGGAGTGGTTGGTTGGTCGGCAGAGAAAAATAGAACTGGATATAGTATTGCTCCCTAAGGGACTCCGACGATAATTGGAGATATTTCTGATATTGATCTAAGGAATAGAAAGTAAGGGGCAGGTAATATATTTTTAAATTTAAACAGGAAGCTAGAATGCCAAAACGCGGGCAAACGCTAGTGCGAGATCTAAGAATATCGTCGTGCAATTCATTTTTTTTCTAGTGTTAGAGAGATGGTATCAACTAAACAGTTGATTTGGTGTATGGTTAAATGGGAGTTACGGAAACCAAATCGGGTATCAAGCAGTATTTGCTTTTTATTAATAATAGGCATAATGCGTTTAAGAGTTAATTTTTCACAGAGCTTTAAAAATAACGGTAAAAGACTGATAGGGTGGAATGAAGAGGGATTTTCAGTTGGTTTATCCGGTTTAGGGAATAAGATGATAATGGAGACTTTCCATTGTAAGGGGAAATAAGAGAGTCTCAGTATTGATTTTATTATGTATGTGAGATGTATAATTGCTTTTTTGGGGAGTTGACGTGCTATTTCGGCGGTGATTCGATGATTTGATCAAAACTGGGGATTTTCGAAGTGGAAATGATAATATTCAATTTAAAATTTCATTTGGAGAGAATGCTTCGAAAGGTAAATGTACAGGTAGCGGATTTGTTAAAGAGTTCTGAATTTCTTCTGTAAATTTAGGATTGTTAATATCTTGATGTGGTTGGAAGACGAACGCTAAATAAGTGCGAAACATTTTAGCTTTTCCTATCTGTGGTGTTATCGTTATTTTTTAGAGGACATTAACTTTTGTTTAAGGCAGTTTCGAGTAGCCTCATAGGCAAAATTCGGGGGGGGGGGGCTCGGGTGAACTTAACGTCCCCATTTTCAAAATTAGTATCCCTAAATGTGTTCATGTTAATTTAAATTATTTAAAGAAAAATATATTTATAGAGTTTTTAATGTATAAATATATAAATTTATTATTTAAATAATGTTGGTGGAAGTTCGTCTTTCATCTTTTCGGTCCTCAAATTGGATAATAGTAATAGGTAGGGTTACCAGATTTTTAAATCCCTAAACCTAACCCATCATATTGAATGATTCTTTTTTTATTTTGATATGAAAATAAAATAAGTATATCATTTTGTAATTTAAATATTTATTGGCTAATATAAAAATTCATTATTATTGTATAGTAGCTGACCCGACAAATGTTGTTTTGTTATATAAATTATTTCTAGAGAATATTTTGCTAGAAAAAAATTACTAATTTAATATAAGTATGTAAGAATGTGGTATATAAGTGGAAGAAATATGGAGTGCTGTGAATGGTAACGGAATATAAAAATAAAAAAAACATCAAACATTTATTTTTTTAATAATTTATTAAAATTGATACTTTAAAATTATATACATCGCTAATTATGATAATATTAGTAAAAAACAATATCAATCCTTTGATGCAACAGAGTGTAAAATATTTTTCATTATCCCATCTTTCGCCAACACAAACAAACTGGATGGTTCGACAGTACGCCACGTATAATTGTCCCTGTGAAAAACATGATGTGCTCAAATCTAAGTCACAGACAGACATCGTTTGGCCTTGAGGCTTATTAATAGTCATAGCAAATGCCAATCTATTTGGAAATTGAAGGTATTTAAATTTTATTGGCACATCTGTGGGTATAATAGGGATTCGCGGTAATAATATATTTTCACCTAGGAAAAAAATTGAAGTCGGCCGCCATTTGCATGTGTGGCAAAAACGATAGTGATTATCAATAGTATAGTATCAATATATTATTTATCGATTATTATAACTTTATCGATGCCTATTATCACAACTTTTTTTTTATCAATTTTAAAAACCGTCAACCAAAAATTTAAAATTATTAAATATTAAAAGTAAAATAGTAAAATGGTTTATAATTGTTCACTGTAATAATAGGAAAACGTCAGATTGTGACTTACATTATATTTCATAAGTTTAAAACTCCAACTCTATTATGTACCTATATAAGCGTTAATAATTAATATGTGATACGTTTATACCATTTAAAAATCCAGAAATAATAAAGGCATGGGTCTTGGTTACAAAAAGTGGATTTGTTCCAACGAAATGGAGTAAGCTATGCAGTAATCATTTTTTACATACTGACTATCAAAAACCAACAGGAGGTAGTTATTATTTAAAACTTAAAAATAATGCTGTTCCACTACTTCCATCATCGTCTCAGCCACCAGTAAAAATTCATAAATTCGCAAAAGAAACTGCTTCAGATTCTTCACTCACTGATGAAAATCCAGATAATAAGTTAACTGAAGAAATTCATCCAATATTGATCACTCCAACAAAAGCTAAACCTATTCATGTTACACCTACAAAAAAAAGAAAGTCAACTGAAATAATAACTCCAGTTAGGAAAATGAAAGGCAAAATCAAAGTATTACAACAAAAGATCCGTAGGCAGCAATTCAAAATTAAAAATATGATGGAATTATTCAAAAAATTAAGATCCAAAGGACTTCTTGACTCTGAAGTCAAAATTATGATGGTAAATAAATTTGATGGTATATTCTAAGAACTTTTTAATAATAAAGTAAAAAATAGTAAACGTAAAGTTGAAGGTCAGCGGTATTAATTTTACATTTTATTTTATTATAATTTACTTCTTTGTACTTTATAATTATATACTTATAGACAGTGGTAGTTGGCCCACCGGGATACCGGGAAAGTTCTCGGTGAGCTGCTAGTCATATTATAACACTGGGCCAATGTACTTCGATTAAAAATTATTTTATAAAAATAATGTATTAATAAGTATATTCTATTTAATTGTAAAATTGTGATAAAAACCTAGTGTAAACGTGATGTTAAACAGTTCTACGAGCATTTAATCCATGAATAAAGGAGACTTTTATGAAAAATTATTATTATTGGTCAGTCATACGGTAATTTCCCGGGACGAAATGTTTAGCCATTTCGCCGCTACTTATAGATCTGTAACTTAGTTCATTATGTATACCATTTTCAAGTTCATTGTTATAATGCATTAGTTTTTTCATTATACTACGTTTTTTTTATAATATATTATTATTTTATATTATATTATTTATATTTACTGTGAAAATATAAAATATGCATAATCTGAAATTATTCTCCAATATTCATTGACATTCAGTTTTTCCCCATAATATTTGATTTTAGATGGTTGTTAAGAATGTTCAGAAAAAGTTTAACTAGGTACATCTAATAAAGTAATATATTTTAGCACAGATTTATGTAATAATATGTAATAATAATAGTAATATATAATAATTATTATATTTGTGTGTATATGAGTAGCGATTGTGATCACGATTCTCGATTTTCCTTTACGAATATTAACCGTTGATATTAATATAAAATTAATTAGAATTTAAATTGTACCTATAGTTGGATATATAAACTCAATGAAATAAACTAATTATGACTTCAATTAAGTATATTGTTGTTAAAAAACAATGTTCACAACTGCAGGTTAAAATATTTTTAATCAAGTATCGATAGTAATATCGATTTTTTATACTATCGATAGTCACTATCGTATTTGCCATACCTGCAAATGACGGTCGACTTCAAAGATAGGAAATAGTTTGCTATTTAGCAGTGCTTGGAAAATTCCTTTAAAAAAGGAACTCGTTGACGTTGACGTTTATCTTGCTAAAAAGGAACTAAATCCTTTACCGTTCCTGTCTTGAAGAAAGGAACTAGTTCCTTTTCTCGTTCCTAAATAAAGAATATTTATTGTTCTTCAAAAGTTTTAAAATTGTATTAATATAATTAATTGTATATAATTAATTTAATTAGGTATTGTTGTTTTGTTTTTATTTTTTAAATTTGTTTATTTCATACAAATTAATTTTATAATACTTGCTTCAATTTTAATTATTTTATAATATGTAATAGGTCCATTAAAAATTTGAGAATAAAAGATATTTTTCAACTTCTGGTCATGGAATACCAATATGTGAAGTCGAAATTGAACAGCTGTTTTCGTCTGACATGATTATTAATTTGTAACAAACAGGGCTCGGAAGTTCTAGAAAATGCATATTATTCTTGGTTCATCCTAGAACATCCAAAGTAAGATACAAATATATTTCAAACTATTCGGATATTATACACATAATTTAATTTTGCTATTTTTTCATACATACGGGTATTATTGCTATTTTGCTAATTTAGGGTTTATAGTGCTATATTTGGGTATATTTTCACATAATACAGAAAATAATTACAATTAGTTGATAATAATGATATTTACTAATTAATTAATTTAAAATTTTTGTTAACAGCTTATAATTTAACCAGTCCAGCCATCTATGAGCCTATCAATTTGTAAAATTACATTTAATTTTTTTCTAATGAATTTATAATTTTTTCAAGTTAAATGCACTTTTCGTGCTATTTATAATGCTATAGCACATATTTTAGAGTTTTTAAGTGCTTATTTAAGAGCTAAAAAGTAAAAATGTTAGTGTTACAACTTTCGAGCCCTGGTAATATTTAATAAGTTATAAAATAACTAGTGAAAATAATACGAAATTAATTTATCCATCTGTGTAGGCAGCACTCAGTAGAGGATTGTACTGAAAAAGAAAGAGATTGCATTAGCTGTAGCCTGTAGGTTCGCTTTAAAAATAGAAAATATACTTGTAATAAATTACCAATTGTAAATAATACATACCCGTATCGTCAAGTATTTTTCCAACCACTAACGATGTCCCACCAATAAGGTCGCCGCGACAGAATGGGCATTTTGTAAACATCAATAATTTTATATAAAAAAAAAAGTTTATTTTTAGCTCTTTATGTTTGCTAAAGGAATTTTAAACTTTTTTTCTCATAGTTAGGTATTTTAAGTTAAATATTTTAAACATTCGTAAAATATTGAAGCAATTTCGGGAGGGGGGTCCAAAAACCCTGGACCCCTCCAGGATACGGCCTTGTGGGCGGGTATCTACAAAATGTAGCTGTCTCTGAAAATTGTTGAGTTCGCCACGCTACTGTTCTTCGCTTCACTTAGAATTTGAAAGTGATCATGTGATGAAACATTTGTGTTACAGACGAGTAATTCATTATATGCGCAATAAAAATATAAAATCAAAGTGAACAATTTAAATTTAGAAATATTTAAATATTTACAAAATATTTTATTAAATGTCGAATTCAAGGCCGTAACTGGGTGGGTCCAGGGGTCCGGACCCCCCCTGAAATTTTTAAAAGTTAAAACAATTTAGTGATGAATATAGTTTATTAACTATAAATTGTATTAAATAATAATTGTATATTTTCGTTAAAGCAGTAATTTAAAATAAGATATGTTAAAATGTATTATTTTATTTTATTTCAACGTCGTAATAAAGATTAGGACTAATAAATGTGTCATAAAGCTGCATTATCAGCTACAGATTTTAATTTATATTCTGACTATATAGATTATATATAGTATGATAATTTACAACCATTTTAAATTTTACTTTTTATATACGTTTAAAATCAGCATTACGAGGTGTAAATCTTACGAAAAAAAGTGTACAAAAAATTATTATGAATTTGTCGAATTGGAAGTAATCATGCAGGGCACCATAGTGCTGTATACACACTTTATGGATTGACAAATAACCGATTCCGTCTCTAAGCATAGAACTGTAGAAGATAACAGTATGTGACTCAAAAACAATTATTTTACTAGAAAGTGGACAAGGTTTGTGTGGTTATATATCCGTTGAAGACGTAGTTCAGCGTGGTCTAACCCGAGGCCCTCGAAGTCTTTTTTTGAATCTCCTTAAAAGACTTATATTAAAAAAAAACCCACATTAATATTATAACAAAATCATTAGGTATATGATTGTATACTTTTTATGTTTTTTTACTACAAGCCGTAGGTATATGTGCAATGAGTTATGTCCAAAACCATGATTAAATTCAGCTCCTTACGAATAACGTATATATATACGTGTATAAATATCGTGTTTGCATGCCCGGCTCAAGGGGTAGGCGACATAGGCCACGCCTAGGGTGGCATTTTCCCTGGAAAATTTTTATGTATAAAAAAAAAAATATTTTATAAAATATTTACACGTAATGGGCGACAACAACTAAATTTGGCTTATGTTTGTTTAAACACTTGAGCCGGTCCTGCGTGTTAGTATAGTAGCCTCAGCGAATCCTATTTCTATTGGTGGATAATTGTGGAAGTCATTATTATTATTGTAGTTATTAAGCGGCTTATTATTAATTATAACTAGCTGAACCCGTGCACTTCGTAGCCCATATATAGAATTCGCCCGTGTGCAGTTATTGCTTTCTCTAAATGCAATTCTTAAATCAGATGTTTATTATTTACCTTCTTTATTTTTTCGATCCCCTAGCAACAAACGAATATAATACTATAAACGACGTACATTTTCAAACGAAAATAATAGCACGTAGGTTGTACAGTTAAAATTAGTTTTATTATAATTAATAGTCGACTCCTGTGCGCTTCGCAGCACCAACACAAAAGTGCAATAAAAATCATTTATTTTTTCTAAATTCTTTATTATTAATCCAACACATTTGTGTAAACAATATTCTTTGGTTGTCCAGATTGGACCACCCTGACATAGATCATGTACGAAAAAATGTTATGAAAGCCGATGCAAAATTCTTACTGCTAATTCAACTTATATACATGCTGCTCCCGATTCATTGAAAGGAGAGAACATTTTGGCAAAATAAGGTAAACAGCTTTTACGATTAAATTATGACTTGAAAAATATATTAATTTTATTGTGCGCAAAAAATTAAAAATGTTTAATTTTTGTCGAACTCATTCTTGTAAATTTATGTTTAGGGGTTATTAACAAATATAATGAACAAATTTCAATTTAATATGAAGATAATAATTGTTGACCGATTTGGCGGAAAACGGAAACGTCCTTTATTGTAGCTACAAGTAATGATGTGGTGATTTAGTAGTACCTATGTAAATTGGGTATACGTGATCGACAGACATTTTAAATTGATCTTTGAACTGTTTTGTAGTAGATACTTTATCAAAATATAAAAACCTTATTATATAATAAATTACAATAATTTATTAATTTTTTGTTGTTTATAAATTATTAAACATTTTCTTATTAGAATAAATTTAAAAATTTTGTGCTGAATTTTGGTCGTTTCTGATAGATAATATTACAATCCATCCAAATGTTTTACTACGCAGTGAAAGTATTGAAGAAATCGCTATTAATGCTAATATAATGCATTCGATCACTAAATTTTCAATAAAACTTGTACAAAACCATTTTGATGATTATTCTTGGTTTTTATCTTTATTTTAGTTTTTGTTGAAGTATAATTTAATTATTGTTTTTCGATTTAAACAATTTACCGTGTCTTAAATTAACAAAAATAATTTTATGTGATATTAATAATGAATGAATATAACTAAAATAATTAAAATACTTAGAATAATTGATTGACACTGCAAATAATTATTTCAATAGGAACTGTTTGTAAATTGATATAATCACTTTTAAATTATCTATAGAA